TGTTTTTTTTAACCGTCTTTCATAATCATACATTCCCGAAAATAACACAAATCACCTATTGGTATGTACTCTATTTATCTTACTCAGCCATGAACATCTAGTACTGATAAAAATAGTAAATAGCTCAAGGTCCTACAGGAAGTTGCCATGATCAGTAATAATAACAAAAAGAAAACAGCCGAAAGCGAGTCCGACTCATGCGCTGATGGGTTCTGTGCAAATATAACATTTTTAAAATATTATAAGTTATAGGTCCTGTTATCATAAATAATCCTATTCTGTATTTTTTTAAATTGTCGGCTCTATAGTTTCTGTGAATGGCCAATTTTTCGTCCATTTTAAATATCTTCAAAATATTTTCTTATAAATTTAGAATCACTATTTAAGTTCCATTAAACTTAATTTCACAGGTCCCGTAACATAGTTAGCCTTCATAATTTTTTTAATTTACCTGTAGGTAAATCTAAAAAAAATATGTTTCAAAATTTCAAAATTTTCATATACAATATTATCGCCATTTTCAGGTTATCAACTTACATGTCCTAGTAATGTACTTTCAGAGAAAATCGACTACCAGCCAGTTGCATAAACGTCCATTAAAATTGACATTTTTTTAAAGCGACATTGCAGATACAAATTTGACATTAATTAGAGCTTAAAGGCGTCATTAAACCTTAATGGACGTTTATGCAACCGACCGTTCAACTGACGGTCAGACAGACACAACCGAGTGATCTTATAATAATAATAATGTTTATATATTATAGGTAAGGTAAATATAATTAAATTAAACCTAATGTAAACAACAAATTACTACCTACTATACAATATAATACAAATTAACATTTTTGAATTCCCAAATTATAAAATATAATATAAATTACTTAAATTATGTTCAAAACTATATAAAAATAAGTAAAAAATTAATTCAATATGATATAAATAAGGGTCCCGTCTTTCCTTTCTAGGTACGGATCCCTAAAAACGTCAATATAACAATACATTACATGCAAGAAAATATCAATAAAAATAGCTGTTACAATATCAAGGTATCTATTACTGGATACCAAATACAATGATATTAATCAGTGGTGGACTTACTTAAGGTAACACTTTATCTCGTTGTCTAAGCAGGTACTTATTATTTTTATTATCAATTGGATTGGAGTTCGATGCCACAGTGAGGGGACGTATAGTAAAAAACCCCATAGTATAAATATTTATACTATGCTAACCTTGTCTTTCTCATTACACCCGGCAATGAGATAGAAAGAACGGGTTAGCAAATTTAGCTCTGTACCAAATGCACTTGTTGACTGGTAGAGAATGCCTCTTTGGCATTAAGTCGGCCAATTGTCTATTTTACTGTGCAATAATGATTAAATATATAAAATCAAATAAAAAAACAGCGAATAATATTCTGAAAAATGTTGTGAAACAGTAAACTGTGAACTGTGTGTAAATTTTTACCCTAGGGATGTTTTTTTTAATTTTAATTTTTTTTTTAATTAATTTCCCGTTTTAATGTGTGACAGATACTCTTTAGTATATTATGTAGCTTAATATTTAAAACAAACCGGACTTAAAGACTGGGGATGTCTACTAAGGGAGTTCATTCCATAGTAGAATGGTTTTAATTTAAATGCAGCTTTAAAACGTTGTATTCAACTCATTTTTATATTGAAAAAAAAACTAGATGAACCAATATTACACCGTTAAATTCTTCCCAGCACGCTTATCATGACGAGCTCGAGAACATTTTGTCTACACCCAAATGTCACTTTTCTCGGGTACGCCCATACGATATCTCACTCTCGATCCGAGAAAGTGTAGACAAAGCGTTTCTCGATTTTGTCATGCTACGCGTGCTGGACTACGGCAAACATTTTAAAACCAAAACCAGCTAAATCTGCGTAGCAGATCTCGAGTCTTAGCGTGACAAGCGAACGGCAATTGATTTTTATATTTTTATGTTTTTCAGGTAGATTATTGAATAATATTCAACAAGTTTTTTTTTTTTTGCGTAATCTATAAATTACGGCTATAAATTAAGTTGAAATGTCGCGTGATGTCACGCTTTTTTACATTTTCTACAAAAGTTGCTTCACTATACATCGATAACACGTGATATCTCAGGTTTTGGAACAACTAATTGTATAAATCCATAGTGATAGTTGTTCCTTGAAAATTTGATTAGTATATCTTTTAATCGAAATAATATACGAATAAAAATATTGAAAAAACATCATACATTGCTTATATTCCAAGATAAGAAGCATAAGTGTCTCTGAAATCTGAAACAATGAAGTTACTGCCTATAAACACCCTTACTCTAGACAATTATTTAAATTAATCATCATGACATCACTCATATCAGAGTTACGAAACAGCTCTGTGAATAGCAAATCGTGAGAATGTGAAAAGAGTTATATAATTTCATAAACAATTCTTATTTCTTTAATATGTTTTGTAAATATAAGTAGGTACTAGCTGATTTCACGCGACTTCGGCAGCGTAAATTATAACCTACCTACCTATGTCACATTTCAACATTATAATATTAGTAGGTAAAGATTATTTTTAACCGACTTAAAAAAAGGAGGTTCTCAGTTTAACCTGTAGGTACTTATGTATATTTGTATGTATGTTTGACCGCGATTATCTCACGTTTGGCTGAACCGATTTCAACGCGGTTCAAAAAAGTATTTGTTACTTAGGAGAAGGTTTTAGTATCTTAACCGACTTCAAAAAAAGATGGTTGAACCGATTTTGGTGCGAATTCCAGCATAGTATCGTATTTGTCATATTTAGAAGAAGCGTTTAGGTAGGTATATTAACAAACTAAAAAATGGAGGTTCGCACTTTAAGACGGTTTTGATGCGGTTTTTACCTATTATATAAAAGCATGATTTTTTTTTTAAATAGAAAATTATCTGTAGGTTATTAATTAATTCATAGGCGCCCGACTTAAATAGCATTTTCTTGAATAAGTCGCTTTCGAGATAAGAATTATTTTTCACTTTTTTAAGTTAGATGTCGGTTCTGTTTATTTTTTTAAGTTTTCCTATTTATTATTCTTTATTGCATAAAAAAGAAACATAAAAGGCGGACCTAATGTCTAAGGCATTCTCTACATACAATAGATGTTGGAAAACGGTTGTAAGGCGAAAAGAATAAACGTATAGGTACCTAAACTAGGTACTACTATTACTGTAATAATAAACAACGAGCGAAAGTTTTGAGGATAAGTAAGCACCTCATTAGGATTATTATCGATTTTTAGTCCTTTGACATTGGTCACGCCCCGCAATTAATAAAAAATTCATGCGTCAAGCGAAACTAATTCCAGGGATCTTACCTGATAAAATAAAATTTTCTCACGATTTAAAACGGTGTATATACATAAAAAAACCTTCTTTTATCTTAAAAAAAAATCTTATATCTTTTAATTGGTTTTATATTAAAAATGACGTCCAAATAAGCCTTAATTAAAAGTGACAAAATTAGATAAAAGGTGACAAGTGACAAAATTAGATCATATTTCTAAGAGTTTTGTCACATCACAATTTTTTTTCGATTTCTTCTCGAAATTACACTCTTTATTTTTTTTATGGAATCCGTGGCCGTGTGATCGTACGCCAGTTGCATGGTGTCGCCATCTTTGAGGCCCGATTTCGATTCCCGGTTGGGTCAATATAGAAATTAAACTTTTCTTGATAGTATATAAGAAAATCTCTTATGAATTTTCTAATTATGCATAGAATTAAGTACCCACCTATTCTGCTTAAAAAAATATAATCCAGGTTCCAAATTGATGATTGCGTTTGATATTTTTTGTATTAACGAGCTTATATTTTTATTATCTTATAGTACATAAGAACTTATAGAACTTTTAGAACAATACTTTTTAACACGTTTGGGACTGGTGATATTTTAAAGTAAATATTTATTTATTATATAAGAAAATCAACAAAAACATGAACGAAAATGATTGAATGAATGAATGAAAAATTCTTTATTGTACACCAATGGACAGAAACAAATATAAGGATACAATAAATGTGTAATGTGAATGCACAATTGGCAAAACATGCCTCCTGTTAGATTCGGATTTCATTAAGGTTTTCCCTAGTATCTTCTTCTTAGTCTGTGGTTTTTCCCTATGTTATGTAAGTAATTTAATAAGCTTATTTTTGAAACAAGAAATTCTCTAATTATTGGAATGAAAAAGAAACTTACCATCAATAACGACAATTCCTTATACACTTCCAGATATGAAAACGTGAACATTTATATAATAATGTTTAGATTTATCTACGAGTAATAAATGACAGTTTGAAAGCCGGTAAATCGATTTTGTCTATTTTTCTCATGTTATTACCTTGGTAGGTATTAACATTCACACCTAATACAATATTCTGTTAGCTTATTTTCCTTTTCAACTCTAACTATAGTTGTGATAATGTTTCATTGTTTCTAATTTCCTTTAATTTTATTATAATATATTTTTTTTAATCTAAAAAAACACTTCCTATATTAGCTTGTTTATTTTTAGATAGATAACTTAAACATATTAGGTAGCGGCAGAGTTCTTATTAGTAATGAGTCATATCAAACAAAATGAACTCTGAAAATTCAGACCAAATAAAGAGTTTTTATTTGGCCTGAAAATCAACACATTGTTCCTATTGGTTGCGTCTGTATCTGCATAGTGCACTGCACCGCTCTTAAATAATGGAATATCATACGGACGCTTACCTTCGCTAAGTAAGATGTCATTATTTTCTTTTATGTTAAAATAGTCTTATTTCAATAGGATATATTACTTAAAGTAAGATTTGTCGACGCGACGTAGATACTATTTATTACGTTTTAACGACGACCATCATCAACTCTCCGATTGTATGTATATTACAATCAACACTTACGTTTTTTAGGACAACTTTAGGACGTACATAGAAGATTTTGTGAATAAATATAACACAAACTTAGGTACTCACTTGGTATCCCTCGGTAGAGTTTTCAAGATCACGTAAATGCGCTTCCTGTATCGGTATAGGCATGGGGCGATCGCGAGCAGCGCGAAGATCGCAGCTTTCGAGAGGGTGCTTAGCACGGCTGCCATCGCGGCGGCCAATGCCATTAGCGCGACGAGCGCTGCCAGTACCGCGTCCATGCTGGCGCTAGGCCCAGTGGGACACGCTAACTATACACTGAAGACCGGTACAACAGCGCGTCAGTAGGCACGTACACGCGAGCCGACAAGCCGCACTCTACTGCGCGCTTAGGGTGCGTGCGTCTCAACAATAGCAGGGCTCCCCTCCGACAGCTGCACATGCGCCGATAACAGCTGATCCCGCTAGTATAGCGCGATGCCGCACTCCTCGACTCATTTAAAACGCGTACAAAATAAACGTCAATAAAAGTGGCCGAGTAGCATGTGAGCGCGGATGACATCGGTGACGGTTTGTTTTTCTTTTTATCTCATTTGACTGATTACAAGTTTATGCCTTCGAAATAGTTCTGTCTCGGGAGTTATTAACATGATTTGATTACGCGGATTCTCGTTTAAGAACTTTTCAGTTATGAGCGTAAGGACCCTTAAGGCTACACAGAAAAAGGGTTAAAACTTGAAAACAGGACTTCTAGACCAGTGATACTCAAAGTTCCGTCCGCAGCAACCTAGGTGTTCTGTAGAAAAATCACTTTTTATACTCGTCAATAGAAATTATTGATAAAAGAGTAAAGTTATTCATTGTTTTACAATAAAAGTCTAATTTATAAAATAAAGTGTTTTAGTTTTGATAATTATTAATGACAACACATTACTTCTTTGATCTGTAATCATTTGATATGGGGTGATATGAAATAAAATGTATTTGTTTAAAATATCAATCAGACATTCCATTGCGCCACACAACCTTGAGCATAAAACCATCTACCAGTTACATATCGACGCTGGAAAGCAAACACGTACTTAGTAGGTAACCTGCAAAACCAAAATTGTTCTTTAGAGCAGAAAAACTTATATTTTTTTTGATAAATCATTCCTATTAACGTCCATGGTAACAAATAAGGTGTTCCTTAATCAATGTATATGGAAAGAAGATATTTTTTTTTGTGTAAAATATAAAGATTTTCCACTCTCTAAATATCCATTTCAGTTTTGCAGGTTACTACGTGTTTGTTTTCCATCGTCGATATAAATATGTGTAATATTTTATTATATAATGTAAAGTTAGATTGTCAAAGTTCAATTTAAGCGATTTGAAATCCATAACAAATCCATTCCCAAAAATCATATCTGTTGTTGAAATGTAAAAATTTAGATGTTTTGTTCTTCTATACGCTCAAACAAGTAAAGTGGGTTAAAAAAATCGTACATAGTTTTGAAAATATTAGACAGTATTAATCCTAGAAAAGACATGAATTGTCAAGCTTTTCCAATAGACTGGCTTTGCAAATTTTTATAAGGTTTTTCTGTAGCGATCCTAATAAAAAATTTCAAATGGTAACATATCTATGTGAACCTAACGATCAGTTTGTTTTGGTAATTGTATTAATCCGTTTACTCTATTAAATACTTATTTTCTATATCTTGTATGCTTGCAATTGTGAGATCAACAATAGTCATATTTCTTACCTACTTGTAAACAATCAAACTGTATTTGTAATATTTTTCTATCAATATCTATATAATATTATTATAATATAATATAATATAATATTACTACTGGCTTTCTTACTATTTCGGCAGCAGCCGCGATAAATCATATAAATCATATATCCATACGCAATATTCATCGAAGACAAAATTAACAAAATGCACCTTGCAAACACCTTATAATTTGGACAGTCCGAAGAACGGGAAAAGTGATTGGAACATGCGCACGTGCCCTGATTCCTCTCCTTCTGTCTTTCATCAGCAGGAGCACAAACACTTTGTGAAGATTTTAGACGTAAATAAAATAAAAATATTTTTTATATAAGCGATACTCAAGGTTCAGCACGAAAATCTTTACTTGAATGCGGTTGTAGCTCGTCATCGAGGTAAAACGGCTATAGTTTTAGGAAACACGTGTCAAGAATGGTTGATACATCTACCCTCTATTAAAATTTAATAAACGACCACATATAAACATATTTTGTTGCTATATTTTATGAATTTTTAATTCACAATGCTATACTGAAAAATATTCTTAATGGATAATCTGTTTCCCAATTAGCTGTTTAGGTCCTGGGTAGCTCAGTGGTTAGAGCAGTCACCCGGATTCCGAAAGGTCGTGGAGTCCCAGTACCAAGAGCTGATGGATTTTTTAAGCATTTTTCAATAAGAATATATTTCGTTGATTCTATCTTGTTCCACTCCTTCCATTTCCCTTCCCCTACAAGGTGAGTATTAGTGAATTCGTAATTATAGGAGAGAAATATCAGTTTCACTTTCTCTGTGTTGTGTTGTTTTCTGTGTCTTCATAATCTATTGTTTTATTTTGTTACTTACTTACCCACAAAATAAACAACAGATTAAGTATTATCCAAAAATTAGATTGTTTAATTTATTTAACATTTTAAATCGTTTACAATTAAGTTCAAAATTATTTGCCTAGATATCTGCCGTGTGCACTCTCAATACAAAGTCTAATGAGGATAATAACATTGTTTATCATAATATTATTTACATAAACAAGTCCTTGTTCAGCTACGGTATAGATATAAAACAAAGATTTGGAAATGTGTCATTAAGAGGGGACGTAGATCCGAAAGACTATCTATCTAATTGCACCCGACAATGAAGATAGGAATAGAGGATGGCGAATTGCGCGTCTGAAACTGTTTTTTTTTTTAATTAATTACTCGCAAATTATTACGATCAATTTAAAAGTACTACATAAAGCCCTCGGCTGCAAAGTAACACACATGTTTATAAGTTTCTGTATAAAAAGGTCCAATAGCGATGATGTTTGGGTAAAAAAAAGAAATTATATTTAGTCCGTCAGTGAGATATTAGAATCATAATTTTACTTTACTGAAATGGCTTAAATAATAGGCATTAAAGTGGCGTAGCGGGGGCTAGTTACATCACAAGTAGGTATCACAAATATGTACAAAGGACGTGACGTCATGCTACGTTACAATACAATGTATCATTGTAATACAGATTACGAAAAATATTTAAACAAACGTGTTTAATATTCTTCAAAAATCAAACTGACTAATAGACAAAAGAAATAGTCGTCGTCCCTATTACAAGAAGAAAGGGGGAACAATGTGAATTTTAGGGGTAGCTTTGTGATTTTTTTTTTCTACGATAAGATTTTATAAATTAATATCGTATTTTGACTATGACAGGACCATTACAAATATAATTTATTTTTCTTTAATTATAGCATTTTTGGTCGTAATTTAAAAAGAAAATGAGATGAAATTCCACAGTCAATAATAGATAGCATAGCATGTTGTGTTGTTGAAGGTTCCGTGTCATGAACAATGTTTTATTAATTACTCGGCAACTAGCAAACCATTATATTAGTTATTCAAAGTATAAACCATTGTTATCTATGCACTTTTGCCATCTCATGGGTAGTTCATTGATCCCCTTACTAAAAAAACCATTCGGACGAGAATCAATAAAATCTTTGAAGGCGATTTGCACTGCCCCATTGGAGTTAATTTTTTTCCCTTGCATTCTTGCAATCAAATCCACTATTATCTTTATTAAATGAAACGATGTGAAGTCCTATTGATACCTAAGCCACAGGTAACGCCCACACTGTCAGTATCTATAGTTTACCAAAAACGCACTTTCAAACTGCTGTATATTATAATTCCAAAAACACTTTACTTTTTTCATGAATTGGCCCCCTGGTCATAATTCACTACACGTTCCCAGTGCTGCCCTGCAATTCTGTAAAAATTCTGACCCGATTTCGAATTCACTCATGTGTCCAAATTCACATCATTTAGTATAGAAATTCTATTGATTCCATTTTGTATAAAAGTACAAAACAAAATTGTTTGAATATACGTGTCTCAGATATTTTATTCCAATGTCATTTAGAAACTCACTTCACTTTTTGAAGTGAATTTCGGCACCTGAGTGAATTTGGATTCGGGTTTGGATTTTTTTGGAACCGCAGAGCTGATTGGGAGTTATTACTACTGCACGTGCAGCAGAGATCATTCCAAAGAACGGAGGAGCTAGATATGATAAATTTTTAGTCAACCATGCGAAAGTTGCTTAATCTAAACAGAGTGCTTAGTATAAGTTTTTTGACGTTTACGTTCACTGTCGATCGTGAGCGCGTTAAGATAGCTACCTTAACAAGATACTTAAGTTAAGATACTACCAAGAACTACAAATCTCTATACAAATTCTTAACGCGCTCACTAGTATGGAGATTTGTAGTTCTTGGTAGTATCTTAACGCGCTCACGATCGACAGTGAACTTAAACGTCAAAAAAACTTACACAAGCACTCTGATCTTCTCATAATGTAACATCTATGTACTAACGAGTATTCAGAGCTGACGTTAATAATATTTTGACTTTTCATTGCATGAATTATGTACGACTATGAATTTTAATAATACCTGTACTGAAGAATACGACAACTTTCGTGTATTTAATGACGTCAATGTAAAGAAATGTTTGTTTAGTTATAAACTTACGAGTTGCTCAAATCTGTCGCCTAAATACGAGTATTTAGGCATCGTCTAAGATAAAAATGTATTTCACCAATGGTTAAGAACCATTTAAGGATATAATGTCTAAGGTATGCGTATGATATGCATTTTGAGGTAACTTGCGCTAGGCATTTACGTAATAAGACAGGTCACAAATAAAAGCAAAATGCTTATTTGGAATTTAATCAAACTCCTTAGAAGATTCGTAAAATTAGGCGTTTCACTATGCCTTGTTTTAGGTTACTGAAAACGGATGTTAGTCATTTTCAGCAATATACAGCTATATAGACTTTAACTTGATAAACGCTTGCTTTACATTTACTTATTTTATATACTGTACAATAAATATAAAAATGTTATAAATGCTAAAATTGAAAAGCAGGAACTTCGAATAATTGAAAAGGAATGCAGGCCAGATGAAGTTTTCGAATTAGATTGTAACATGTGCCGTTATAACAGAGATGGCAAATCATTTTCTTGTACAAGGCGTATCGACCAAGATGATCTATCTCATGGTGTGGATTTCTTCATAGTGACATTGCTTTTGTTTTGGGGCATTTTCATTACTTGTTTTTAGATGGTGTTGGTGCTTTCTAATAAAATTTTACATTGTTTTTTCGACGTAGAATAAAATAGCGTTAATCACTGTCCGGGTACCTGGGACTGGTTATTTTATTCAAATCTATCTGTAGTTGTTTGTTAGTTTTAATATCTGTGTAAAGATGTCCCAAAATGAATATAATAATATAAGTGTTTGTAAACGAATATTGACTTTTTTCTATCTTCAAAAAGTAAATTTAAATTATTTTAGTATAATATTTATAATGAAATGGAAACCAATTATCAGTAACTACGTCGTTTATACATTATATAGCGATAAATACAAGGATGAATCTTAAAATTGTGATGTTTAAAAACAACAATTTTAATGATTTATTATTGTTTATTTTAAGTTGAAATTGTATAAGAAATAAAACAAGATTTGTATAAAAATAATGTATATTCTTATTATTTATTTAGGCAATAAATTAACATCACCGCATTATTACTAGGAGATTCGCCAGTCTATAAAAGAGACTGATAAAAGAGAGGAATGTTTATTTGAGACAGTAATATACACACATCAGCATATCAGATTGGTACAAAACAACAAATTGCAAACTAATTTGAACTTAACAAACAACAAATTGAAGAATCTTCTTTTTTTTTTCTTAACGACTTTTTTAATTTATTTACAATTACACCAATGTTAAAGTGCCTTTATAATAATTTCCAAATTTCAAACTTAATTCACTTTGGCTAAAATATTGCTGTATTTGTGTGATTGTACATACTACATAAGATAGTACTACAAAAGATCCAATTTTATCAATCGACTTTAAGCCTTAATATGTTGATATTTAAATTCAAAATTGTTCGTAGAAAAACCTTTTATATTAATCTGATTTGCTGCTGTGTACTCGACAAACTTTAAATTAAAATCCAATAACAGAAATTCTGAATGAGCCATTATAAATATTTTTAGTATTGTCATTAAATCTACCTAGCAAAACAAAGTATGTACTTTCACAAATTCGATTGATTCCTTGACATTTTGCTATCATTATTTTCATCACAACGATACCTATTTATTTAAGTACCTACAAACCATCATAGTTTTAGAAATCCATACGAACTATTTTATATTCTTTTTTTTTTCTTGTTGCTACAGTTTTTTTTTATTTACACCATAAATATACCTACTTATCTAGCGTAGTCAGTCGTTTCATTTGCTACCAACACGGAATCAGGCACAGCTGTAGCTCATTTTCGGGTCTCAATTGAGGTGCGGGGTTGAGACGCAGCGTGTTACCATAGCAACGCAGTATACCGGACGGAAACGACAAAATCAACAATTTGGTGATATATTCAAAATTTTGCATGTGCCAATTATACTCGCTATAAAAAACATTACAAATGTTAGATTTCCTAATAGGTATCGTTATGACATATAACTTTACAATTTCATACGATTCTTTACATTACATAATAAAAATATAAGCTTTCCTTACCAATAAGAACTTAAAGACATGCTAAGAGTATTTACAGTAGTTAAAACTTATATAAAAAAAACAAATCGACTTTAAGCCTAAATATATTGGCAATTAAATTCAAAATTTATAACAGAAATTTGATGTGTGTACATAACCATAATCCATAAATTCGATTCTATTTATCATAAAAATACTTGAAATAAAATAGTTATAAGTATTTATTTTAAACAAACGTTAAGATGCCATATGAATGCAAAATTCACTTATAATAATAATTTATGATATTCTTGTAATATTCATATGTAAATACAACAATTTAAAGCAACACCCTCATATGTTTTATATAAGATTTATTTCTATCCAAAATAAGATCTATTTATTGATTGTTATAGCGTATTATTTATGCTTAAGATTTATTGAGCTTTCTTATGTAGTTAACATTTCTTTTTATATAAGCACTCTTAAGTAACTTGTAATATGCAATCTTGATCAACAATTTAAAATAAGTAATATTCACTCACAATTAAAGGTAATGATTATATTTATTATTTATGAAACCCCTTCTTCATCTTGATACTTAAATATTTTTTAACATTTTGTAACCTTCAACACGGACTTGATCTATAATAATATTATAGAACTGAAGCGTTTGTTTGTTTGATTGAACGCGCAAATCGTACTACTACAAGTTCTTACTAAAAAAAATTGTATTGAATAGTATCTTTATTGAGGAAGGCTAGAAGCTATATAACATCACGCTCTGGCTAATAGTAGTGGAGTAGCAATGAAAAATGTTGCAAAAACCGGAAATCAACGCGGGCGAAGCCGCTGGCGGAAAGCTAGTTAAATATAATTATTAATGAGGATCACATTTCCCCCATCTATTCACTAAATCAATTACATCAAACAATAATAATATTCCATTTAAGCTGACAAAAATCATAGACAAATAAAAAAGCTTATACAAAGATACTTCACACAAGGTGCACACCTTTATTTCAGAGGTACGAAAGTAGAATTTCATATATATTTAATTTTTTATTCTCCGATATTTTATCTCCATTGTCTGTTTAACATGCATTTAACATGCAACATGAAAAGGTAAAAAGTGCAAATAAATCAAATTTCACGTTACAAGGTAACTAACTGCATTTATGAATTAAGACCATAAAACATTATACGAGCAGAATAATAAGTATCACGTCCCTGATCAACATCATAGATGTAAATTATCTTTAAAACACTTCTCAAGTACCAGCAGCTATACCTGAAGTTCTGACTGATCTGCCTGCTTTAATTATTTATTGGCGCAATCTTTGTGGATTTCGCCAGAATATAGTGTTTTGCTGGTTTATTTTATATTTATATAGAATGCTTTTTTGTATGTTTAATGATTAATATGATTGATCTGGTAAAATGAAACCATTTCGGGCTTCAGCAAACTGACAGATCAACTTCCGACAGACCAATCAATATTAGTTCAGAATTAGATACCATCTATTCAGAATTAGATATAGATCTTCTCCTTTTTAATTAATGGCGTTGCCCTTGTGGATTTGGCCAGATCCAGATCCAGTTAGAATTCGCTCAGTTTATTTTATATTTTAGTATTTTATAAAATCTGCTTTTTGTATGGTGGTAGTGAAAACCCAAGTTAAATTTTGAATTTTGATGAAGTTTTTCACCTACTTGAAAAGGACTTATACAACTTAAGTATAACCGATGTTAGAAAATAATTATCGATCTTATGACAATGTTCTGTCAGCTGTGGCAGATCAATCAGTTACGTGATAGAGCCGCCGGGAGGACCCGGACCAACGACTTTAAGATAAGTATTAAAATAACATTGTAAATACAAAATCCAAAATAATTATAAATCAAGATAACTAAGATTTATGTTATTATATATTTTTAATTTTCCGAATAACCGTTTATTTAGTTAATAAATCGAATAATAAAAAAATGCTATTTGATCCATTTTTACAGTTTCAAATTTTAGCAGTGAGAAGCTTTCCATTCTTCGAACAAAACCGAAATAAAAACTACATACATATATTTTATTATTAATAAATAAGGAAAGTTTTAAAATCCTTAACTCTTCCCGCAACCATAACACTTAATAATTGCTTATAATATTTTTGCCATACGATATATAACCTGTGACCTTAACATCTCAATACCCTTTTGTTCCATAAAAGTAGCCAATATACAAATATTGTCTATTAAACTTAATTAACAACTATACAAAATAACGATTACAACCTTATTTTTCCGTTGACAATTTTTTCATACTCTTCCGGGCCGAGTGGCAGATAACTACCCGATTTCACGTCTAAATAGTAAAGCTTATCCTTTTTTATCAATGAAGGATCGAATCCTTCCTTTTGTAACTCAACTTTTTTCATCTTGAATGTACCTGAAATAAAATTTCAAATAAGAATATACATATGTATAATAGGGATGACGACTTGAAAAAAAAAAATCCAATTCTATTTAGTGCGTCAGTCAGATAATAGAAAAATACTAAATACGTATTTTTTTTTACTTCAATTTAACAAAAAATAGCTGAGATAATAACAGGCATTAAAGTTGAGCAGTGGGGGCTCGCTACGTCACAGTTTAGTAGAAAAAGTACCATAACGTGACGTCATGCGAAATTTTAATTCCATGTATCGCCGCTATTTAATGATTACGAAATAAATAAAAAAATACGTTTTTATTATTTTTTGACACTCTACCTGACGGACAAACAAACAAAAATTAGTCGTCATCCCTATTTGTAGTATAATACCTCTACACGTTAGTCAACACTGTGGCGTTTGATATGGACTATAATGTTGACGAATAAGTTGGCGCGACATATACCGAGACAAAAAGACATTCCAACGTGTAGACAAAACAATTTGCCACAATATTCGCAAAAATGTAGGCTCATGTGTAGACCGGGCATTATATACCGAAGCTTAAATTAAATCTGCCCCTTATTAAGAGTTTACTAACATTGCGATTTTCAAACGTTTGTTTTTTTTATCTCTATATAAACGAACGGGACAGTGATACCGTTTGTGTAATACGTCAAAGAGCGAATGATTTATACTTAGACCTTTGAAATATGGACTTTAATGGGCCACGTTAAGGTTTGCATTATAAGTACAACTCGCGACTGTCGAGACTTGTCAATCAAGTACATCGATGTAACTTAAATAAGTAACATTTTAATAAGTTACTTTTTAGATTAACTATTTAGTTCTACTAAACTACTTCCACAATAGCACGAAACTGTTCCATGCATACATGAAGACGATATTTGAAAATATATATTAATAATAAATGTAAGTACACAGTTCCGCTTCGCTAAAGCGTATTTCATAACACCTACATCATCATCATCATCAGCCCTTTTACGTCCCCACTTCCGGGGGCTCAGGCCTTCCTTATGAATGGTTAAGGAGGATGGGCCATGACCCTCCACGCTGGCCCAATGCGGATAGGAGGGTATTAACGACTGCAAATGCAGCCGGGACTAACGACTTAACGTGCCTTCCGAAGCACGGAGTAGCTCCAGATAATAATTTTTTGGTCACCCATCCCGTGACCGACCCTTGCGAAAGTTGCTTAACGACTACGATCGCGGGCCGCGGCGCTTATCCACTACGCCACCGAGCTACTTAACACCTACATATACTATAACACCTACATGTTTTTCATATTAAAATAAAAATATGCGTCTCGAATTGAATGAGATGACAAAATATAGTACGTAGAGGGCACTTAACCTTCTGATAACAGATAAAAGTTCAGTGAACGGTTGGTTATCTTAATGATTGTTTACTAAGATAAAAATAGATTATTTGTATATGTAAACCAGAATCTAGTGTTTTGCTGGTTTATTTTATATTTCTATAGAATGCTTTTTGTATGTTTTATGATTAATGTGATTGATTTGTCAAAATAAAACAAATAACATGTTTGGTTACAAACAGACTGCATTCAGTTTTATTTATGATGGTGAATGAGTACTATGTGATTTACCTGTGAGGTCTACACTGGCCATTCGTCGTATAAAGACAGGTCTCGCGTATGCAGGCAGATCTCGTGCCAACGCTCTAGACATTTCCTCCAGGTCCAGAGTTCCTTCAGGATCTACCACGCCGCACATACCAGCTCGACCCTCAACGTTTGGCACCTAGTCAACATTTTATCAAGTCTTTAAAAATGTCTGATAAAAGCTAAAAGCTAGTACAAAATAAATTTTTGTACTAGCTTTTAGCGCCCGGCATCGCCCGCGTAGAAGTCTTTTAAAGCCCTAATAGCCAAATAAAATTCGTTTTATAAAAATTCACCAAATTATCGATTGTTTGCTAAAAACAGATACAAAGTCCAATAATAATTCGTTCGTTAAAAAAAATCAAAGATGACCAAATAGATTTTTAAGAACGATTTGATGACTAGTATATTTCATCTTAACTATATAGAGATATATATATAAATAAGTTTTCTTCGCTTTCGACCAGGGAAAGTTCTATCAAAACTTTTTTCGAATTCGTGCACTCTAGAGACTGCGGACTCCACCTCAGTGGTGCTGACGTTCTCTCAAATGGAGCACTAGTATAGGTACAGCACACTACACATACCTCCACACCATAAACGACAGCGTTTCTTTGATCTGAGTCCCTAGAAACTGCGGCCTCCACCTTAATGGTACTGACGTTCTCTCACCTGGAGCACTAGTATAGGTACAGCACACTACACATACCTCCACACCATAAACGACAGCGTCTCGTTGATCTGCGACCCTAGAGACTGCGGCCTCCACCTCAGTGGTGCTGACATTCTCGCCACGCCACCGGAACGTGTCTCCGGTACGATCTCTAAAGTACAAGTATCCCAGCTCGTCTGCCACCAAGATATCACCTTAGAACAAAAACTTTTTTTAAAGTTATCCGTAATGTTCGTTTTGACTTCTTGATTTATTTGTCTAATACGAGAGCTAAAATAGAGAAAACAACATTACAATGTATACGTAACGTACCTACTAATTTATGGACCACAGAGTTTAATTTAGTTATTTGTTTATAAAGTACTCTAAGACTATCATATGTTTTAGATAACCTATAAATGGTCAACAAAATTCGATTACCAACATACAAAAAATCGTGCTTATCGTAACCTAATTTATAATTAATTATATTAGTAGAATAATAACAGCTCAACTTATCCACAGCAAATCTGTAGATTTAATTCAAAGTCTAGTTATGCCATAGAATTCGCACTTCATTCGAAGGGTTAGTAGTTAAGATGATATGAGACGATATAAGATAAGATAAATCCCCTTATATATATTTTCTGAATCCATACAAACAGTCACTTTTATGCCGTGAAATGCAAATCGATATGGATCAATATGATTTCACCCTAAACGTTCTGTGATATTATGTAAATCCATTTTTTGGTAATATGCATACTTGTCTTACCTGAAATAAAAGCCTGGTCTCCATGAGTAAAAACATCCCTAACAATTTTCTTTTCAGACGCCGCTTTGTCTACATAACCGAGATATTCCCTCGATGGGTTGTTTAGTGCAATTTTTCCAATGAACACGCCGGGCTCGTTGGGCTGTGCTATCTGAAACAATATCAATGATCTTCATCTTAAAATAAAAAACAAAAGAATCAACTCCACGAAAGTAAAAAAATTATATATTTTTCAACTCCACGAAAGCAAAAAAATAAACCCACATATTTTTTTATACACACATTTCTTTCAAAATGTAACTGACGCATCCAAATGGTCCGCTAGCCCTTTCATTGAATGGCGCCATTTAATCGCACAACTAGTTTTCTAGTTAAATCATTATAGGTATTTGGACCTTTCAACAAGACAGCTGAATTAAAATCCGCCAATAAGTTCATTGTTGTTTCGCTGTTTCGCTTTGTATACAAAGTTAAATTCAACAAGCCTTATCGAACTTTGAAATTATTCATATGATCATATAAATCATTACAAAATAAATAAAAAGACGTATTCTTAATCATTTTTTTCAAATGCCCGCGAAAACAATCAGTCGAGTGTCAGATGTCAGAATGAAAACCTACTGGTTGCGATGCTTTCTCTGTCTACGCTGTAATCTAAAGTGATGTCACACATACCGTCATGGCGGCCTGCGTTTAAGTCCTCGTAATCCACAGACTACAAATAGCAAGTTGATTTTGCAAAACAAGATATACTTAAAATTTATTTTAAAGAAAAAAAATACTGCATAGTTATTACATTTCCATGGCATTTCATAATTAATCGTTATAATTGTCAAGTAGCTAATTGTAGACGTTCTCGTGAATGGTGTTACTATTAAAGAAATGATAAAGCTCGGATTGGAAGTATAAAATACGAGTATAATAGCAAAACATAAAGACAGATACAAACAGGAATGACAGACACGTCAAGTAGGTACAAAACACTAAAGAGATCGAAAAACTACCAAGAAGTCTTCACTTCTTAACATCCCGTCTCGTTTTTCAAACCTATTTGTAAGCAAAGTTCTTTCAGTCTTGGCTTGAAAAGTGGTTTCGTCAGGAAATCTGCAAGCTGCTCATTTGCTTTCACTTTCAGCACCTTGAGGTTTCCCCGTGTCACGCACTCCCGAATGAAGAAATGCCGCAAACGAATGTGTTTAGTCCTCTGGTGACATTCGTAAGGTGGGTCGTGGGCCAAGCGGATAGCTGACTCGTTATCAAGATAAAGTTCTGATGAGACTTCTCCAGCTACCATGAACTTCATAATCTTTTTTAGCCATATCAGCTCTCTGGCCGCTTCACTGGCAGCAACTATCTCTGCCTCTGTGGAGGAAATCGCGACCGTCCTCTGTCTTTTGCTCTGCCAAGCTATGGCCCCTTTCGAGTAAAGGCAGACCATTCCAGACGTAGATTGTCCTGTAGTGGGATCTCCCCCATGATCTGCATCGCTGTAAGTTTGGATGCATTTTGACGCGGTGGAAGATTGGTATCTTATACCATTATTGACTGTCCCTTTAATGTAGCGAAAGATTCTCTTCACCTTGGCCACATCATCTGATTTTGGATTGTCTAAGGTTCTTGAGACAACACTTACAGCATACGATATGTCAGGTCGTGTCCCAATTGCTAAGTACGAAAGCGCACCAACTGCCTGTCTGTAGGGGAATGGTGCTGCTTCCTGCTCTTTTTCGGTTATTTGAATATCTTTAACTATAGGAGTTACTGCAGCCTTACAGTTTTGCATATCAAATCTCTCCAACAGACGTCTCGAGTATCCTTTTTGATCGATTTTGATAGATCCATCAGTTTCCCTCTTAATCTCAATACCCAAAAAATACGAGCCAGGTTGAGTGGTAATTTTAAAACAATGTCTTAACTCACTCAAAAACTTTTCCGTTTCATTTGGGTTTGCAGACGCTATCAATCCGTCGTCTACAAATAATGCAAGGATTATTTTCTTTTCTTCAATATCCTTATTTCTAATGAAGAGGCATGGATCACTGTCGCACTGCTTGAATCCTATCTTCAAGATATATTGTGTGATGCAGTGATTCCAGCACCGAGGTGCTTGTTTCAAACCATACAAGCTTTTTTTAAGCTTACACACTTTTCCTGTTCTATCATCATACCCTTCTGGAGGTTTCATATAAATTTCCTCATTCAAATTTCCGTAGAGGAAAGCCGTTGATACGTCAAATTGTGACAAAGTTAGTTTTTCCTGTGCAGCAACACTTATTAATGCCCTTACAGTGCTTAATTTTGCTACTGGGCTAAATGTCTCGTAGAAGTCTACTCCTTCCTTCTGAGTATAGCCCTTGACTACAAGGCGAGCCTTATATTTTTGTACTGTGCCATCCGGATTGGTTTTGATTTTATACACCCACTTGCAAGGAATCGCTTTCCTCCCTTTGGGTAAATCTACCAAATCCCATGTCTGGTTTTCTTTAAGAGAGTTAATCTCACTCTCCATAGCTACTCGCCATTTATCTGACTCGGCACTTTCAATTGCTTCTTTGAAATTTGTAGGTTCTGACAGAGGATCAACAGATGAAGATTGTACGTGACAAACATTGCAGACATAATCACGATATCGATTTGGCGGTCTGAGATTGCTGCGATTACGTAGTGTCATTCTGCCTTCATTCTCTACGTCGTTCACAGAGAGTTGAGCGTCATCAGCTTCGTCGTCTGTATCTTGAGCATCAATGGAGTGTCCTCTTATAGGCTCAGTAATCGACTCCTCTTCAGCTTCGTGATACTCCATCTCAGTTGTTCTACCGATTTGATTATCGCTATTGTTTTCGTCGTTCACTAAAACTTCTAACTGTTCTCCAATTTCAGGTTCGTCATAAGCTCTACTGTTAGCAATATCTTCACAAGTTCCATACTTAATTCCTAGAAACTCAAGATTTAAATCTTGTTGTGTTTGCTTGCAGTCATCTGGAAAAATTACAGATTTGTGCTCAGGCAGACATTTGGCCTCTGGTTTGTCCTCTTCCAAACATTCAACTTCTCTGAGCAAGGGGTATTCCTCGAATATAACATCTCGTGACCTTATCAATTTAAAATTGTCACTGTCCCAAATGCGATAACTTTCGTCACCGTCATATCCAATTAGGATCCCTTTCTGAGCCTTTTTGTCCAATTTTCGACGTTTTTCTTTTGCAATATGAGGATAACAGGTTGTTCCAATCACTCTTAAATGGCTTACTCTTGGCTTTTTGCCATGCCATGATTCATACGGCGATTTCCCGTTGTGACCCGGACCCGTTCTGTTCAAAATATATACAGATGTTAGAATCAGTTCCGCCCATAAGCTTGCTGGTAATTCCTCATGAGCGTACATCATGGCTCTTGCCATCTCCACAACTGTTCTATTTTCTCTTTCAGTGGGATTTTGTTGCGGTGTATAAGGCGTCGTAAATCTTTGTTTGATGCCTTTCTTCTCTAAAATAGTCCGAACTTTGCTATTATCAAACTCTCCTCCGTTGTCGCTTAAAATTTCTTTCACCTTCACACCAGCTGTTTCGACTTCAGCTAGCATTAGTGATAATTTTTGATAGACTTCTGACTTTTCATGCATTACATATACCCAACGGTATCCAGTATAGACATCCTTGAAAAGCACGAAATAACGATTCTTCGCAAAAGATACAGGGAAAGGTCCACAAACGTCTGTACAAATCAGTTCCCCAGGTCGAGTCGCCTTTTCTCTGGTTCCGAACTTCAAGCGATGAGACTTACCGTAAATACAGCCTTCACAAAGCTCGTGATTTGCTTCCGTTTTAATATTGAGCTCTTTCTCTAAAAATTTCTTGACGTGCGTTTTATTTTGATGGCCTAAACGTTCATGATACAGCTGAAGTAAATTTGGGGTAGTCAATTGGTTCACTATCATTGATGGCTTCAGGCATCTCATTTTTAAACAGTAGAGATCGCCCCCTTTCTCTCTAGTGCCAACAAGTCGTTTCTCACCATCGACTTTCATAACGCATGTTGTCGGAGTTGACTCAAAGGTACTATTATCTGAGTTGTCATGGGCAGCTAGCACAGAAAAGAGATTTCTGCTGATAGAAGGGACATACCAGACATTCTTCAATGTGATTTGTCGTAGTTCTCCTTCAACTTCGGCTTCTGCTCTAATTGTGCCGATCCCCAGGGCTTGGATCTCTTGGCCATTAGCTCCTGTCACTGTATGCTTACTTTTAAAAATGCTAAAATCTACGAAAAAATCGTCTCTATTTGTTACATGGTTGGTTGCCCCATTGTCCACGTAAAAATTAGTCGAGTCTTTCACAATTTTATCAGTTATGGCCAAGATAGTCATATTAACAGCTGATGTCTTGTTCTCTGACTTCTTCGGTTTGCCATCACTGATCCACTTCTTGCATTTTCTCACAAAGTGCCCTAGTTCTCCACAGTAATTGCATTTTCTCTTGTCTATCTTGCTTTCTTGTATTCTTTTTGCCTGTTTTTACCAATAATGCTTCTCCACTACTGCCTTCACCGTAGTTATTTGCCTCTTCTTTTGCAAGGATCTTCTCGTGTGAGCATAACTGTATCGTCAGGTTTTCAATTGTGCGCTCATTCTTCGTCATCAGTAGCCAGCTTGATTTAAAGTTTAGGTATTCCGACGGTAGAGTGTCGAGAATCTTGTATATCAATAGAATATCAGGTAATTCCTTATCAAGATTCAGCGACTGATTGAACTGGTGCCAATAACTCTTTAAAGTCGAAATATGCGTCGCCATATCATGCTTGGCATCTCTTTTGTACGAAAAGAAAGTCTGGCACAGCTCGTAGCTCTGGTCAACAGTGCACCCTCCGAAAAGTCTGTGTAGCTCATCCCACATGTCCTTAGAATAGGTAAAGCGCATTATTTTCTCTAAAATGTCATCTGGTAAGTTAGACATTAACAGAATGGATATCATGCTGTCTAGTTTATCATACTCTTGTACTTCTTTCTGGTACTTCGCAGTATCTTCTGGTGTGGCACCTGGCAATAATATTGGCCTCGGTTTGATTCCTTCCAATATTTCCTTTGCACCCTGTAGCCCCTTTAGTACCATTAAAATTCTGAACTTCCACGTATTGAATTTCTTAGAGTCTAAGTTCCCAATTCGAACCTTGGAGACCTCTGCTATAGATTGGTCCATTTTGTTTGACATTTCTGCAGGCCAAGTTTTCACGAATTTTTTTTAAACAATTGGTTTAGCCACCAAAACAACTCTTAAAATTCTTGCCGACACTTTAATTTCTTCTGAAATTCTCTGCTACCATATTAAAGAAATGATAAAGCTCGGATTGGAAGTATAAAATACGAGTATAATAGCAAAACATAAAGACAGATACAAACAGGAATGACAGACACGTCAAGTATGTAGGTACAAAACACTAAAGAGATCGAAAAACTACCAAGAAGTCTTCACTTCTTAACAGTTACCACATGACTACCACGTGCAATTTATAAACATGATTCTACTGTACATGGTATATCGAATATTGTTTATATAAACAATATAACGACAATAATGTTGGATATAACCACAATATTATCTGTTTGCTATCTATTTTGATATCTCTTTTATTTACAGGTTTGCAATCGTATTTTTTTTTTGTTATTTTTAGAGAAGCAATCTTTTCATACCTGACAAAGACCTTTTGAATCTCTGATTGGTTCACCGGTCTCCTGGTTCACTTTGATGATTGCGATAGGGTAAACGGCTGGGATGATACGTGACACAAAACCAATTGCTCCAGGCGTTCCATCAGTATTGGCTAAATCAAAAAAAATACAATTAAAACTCAGCCAAGTGCGATTCGGACTCGCGCACGTAGTTCCAATTAAATTTTTTCATACTTGAATTTCTAAAATTATTTTAGCGTTAAATGTCCAAGATTGACTACAGAAAATAATGTAACTATCTACCTGATGGACAGACAAAAAAAAATAGGCAAACTACCTCCAAATGTTCAACTAACAAAGGTTGTCTGGAGGTGTTAGGGATAAGACCGCCTTTGCCCATCAAAGAACCACAAATGTTAACCTAATCTTAATAATTATCTGTGAACAAGAAGCTATCAATGTTTACCTATATTGGCATTCCCTTCTGTGGCCCCGTAGAATTCAATAACGTGTTTCACGTTGAATCTTTTCAAAAACTCGACCCATATCTGTAAATAAATTCCGTCATTGATATCTTAGCTTTTATTTACGTCATTAAGTAAGATCCAACTAATATAGCGCACACTAAATCTTTGCGCAGAGCATACCTACCAATTACAAATATGACCAAGAGTACAATTATTAACAATAATGAGTCTTGTTTTAATAGGTATATTGTGTAAAATACTATGCATGAAATTAGTCAGATGATAGCGCGCTACTTAATCAGAATGATCGGCCAGAATTTATTGGTTATAATTTACAGCAACTTTCATATATATTGATCTCCGTTTACTGCTCTCAAGTTTCTAAACAAGTATAAATATATGTATGTATATATTTTTTTTATAAAAACTTGCAAAAAGGTTGCTCATACCTGCGGTCTCAGTCCATTGCCATAGATAATGCGTACGTTATGCGCCCGGTCATTAGGCGAAGGAGGTGTGGCGAGTATGTAGCGGCACATTTCACCAATGTAATGAGCAGCCTGAGGTAATCAAATAAATATACCAAATTATTTAAAGAAAAACAAAAAACCCGATTGCGTAAAAACGAATTTTAAATACATGATTAATAATACTATTTCAATTGTGTAGTTATTAAGTATTACTTAACAGAATTCTAAGCTACTGATCTCGTTTATTTAAGTTATTAAATTCGTTTCTACGCAATCGGGTTTTTTTTGTTTTTCTTTAAATTAATTATTTTTATTTTAAACTTTTTAGTTACGATTCGTTGACTTCGAATCTTCTTTGAATTTTTACAAAACTAAATAAGAGGGATTTTATTCAATTTTGCTTTGTGGCCCTTTAACAGAGAAATAATTGGGTTTGATTCCGATATTAACACGAATATAACAGAGACGAAGCAATATTCAACACTAAGAGTGATTCACACGGTGAAAGTATTTCTTAAAAAACCTTATTTCTGAATAATTATGCCTCAAGAGGTAATTGCATTGCACCTTTTTAAATATAACTTATGAAAAGTATGGACGTTTGGAAATGTGCTATTGATACGTACCGTGGCATTATACTTGGCACAGTCGGGGAAATACTGTGAGGCAGAGAATTTGTTCTTGAGTACTACAGTACAACCCATGATCAGAGCTTGGCCGACGCTAATCACGCCACCCGCCGTGTGGTACAGGGGCAGTGGGCAGTATATGCGGTCAGATTTCGTCAATCGCAAGTAGTGTATACCAGAAGCCATGAATACGAATCTGCGAAATTGATAGTTATTTAATAATAAGTTTATTAATATGGCTACATTCATTTGACAATTATTTTTCTTTAATATTTTTTGACTCTTGACTAATTTATTTGTGTATTTTCGTTAGTATATTAATATTATTGATTAAAAATCCTTAGTCTTAAAGCAGACTTGTCCCAAGACCACCCGCAGCCCGTCTTCATAAAACGTTTATCCTCCTAATGTTTATTACAAGCCATAACTTAATGTCATATAGCTTATTCCCGGAACACAAAAGATGGCAGTACATTAAAGTTTTAACATAATTAAAATAGTAGGTATCTAATTATTTGCTAGCTATCATTGCGTTCATTCATGAATTGATTTATGTAAATCTTAAACACATTTCGATCTTTGGACCTATTTATTAATCACTTTCATGACAAATAGATACTATCAACGATTTAATTAATTTTGTTTTTTTTTTTTAAATTAGCTTTTGACTGATATAAATGGAAATAAATGAAGAATATTAAAGCAGTTGTTTATGGGTAAAAAACAAATATATTTTTTATATTAAACATAATGTTTACGTTTTATGGAAAACTCATTGCAGGAGGCCATGATAGATCACGTAGTAAATTCACAATAAAATAAGCAGTATTTTTTAAAACTAATTTGTACAATTAGTTAAAGAAATTGGAAGGTAAACATATCAAAGACATCAGTATGAGTATATGTTAATATTATTAAAATATTCGACTTAATGCATGGCAATTTTATATTACAAGTCATTTTATAATAAATATTACACATGTTTTCAATTTGACCTCCGCTAAACAGCTTTATCTAGTATTTATAGGTACGCAGATGAGTTTTTATATTCATTTGCCATACCTTGTATTTGATATAACAGCTGCTTTGGGTAATCCAGTAGTTCCTGAAGTATATATGTAGAGGAGTTTGCCCCTGAAACCATCTGCATTAGCCAAAGTCCATGGTGCCGGAGGTGTCCTCTCCAGCATGGAGGTGAGATCTGGAACTGCATCTCCTGAAGACTCTTTGGGATTTACGGGGTCCAATGGACGGTGAGTGAATTTGAATAGTTTCAGTGAGGGACTAAGCTGGCTTGATATGTCCTGAATTGCTGAAATAATTTATGTCATTGTAATTTGAAATCTTATTCATTTAGTCAAAATATACTTTTCTAAAACCTATTTGCTCATCAGAACTAAAGTAAATAAATAGAAAGTTGGATAATATCAGGGTATGTGCATATCTGACCGCGTAATTGTCGATTGTTGAATGGCAAAACTGACAATATATAAAATGACAATCCATACTTCCGTGAGATGCTTGACATCTTAATATTAATATTTAAACTTCATATTTAACAAACTTCAAGGATTTATCTTAATATAAGTAAGAGTAATCTTACTCATTTAGATGGTGATGTAAATTTAATTAGCAAGTAAATAAAGAATACATAGAATATCACACAAATAATATTATTATTGATAAAAAAAAAATTGTAACTTAAAGCAAATTGTTAAGTTCAGAGCGAAAATTATCATTGATATATATCGCAATAATTATCATTGATAAATATCGCAATAATTATCTAGATAAATACACCTTGATAACTGTAAAACACTAGACAAAGCCTTTTTTTTAGTTTAGGACTTCTTATTAATGGGGAATTATCTTTAAACAATTGTCAACTATGGTTTTTCTGATAGATAAAATTGTCTAGCATGGACCTATGAATGAATGTTCAGAAAATATGAACCATATTAACTAATAAATATTTAAATAACAGAAAAAACAAACGCACAAATAACAAAAATATATTATTTTCTTATATTTCCATGTGCACTATCCATAAAAGAAGGGCTTCAATTGGAATGTCTAAGACATTCCACGTACGCCCGCTCCAACAGATTACATTTTTTTTTCGAAATTTGGATAACTTCTTGCAAGGGAAAAAAATCAACTAAAATGGGGCAGTGCAAATCGCCTTCAAAGATTTTATTGATTCTTGTCCAAATGTTCTTTTTTAGTAAGGGGATCAATGAACTACCTATGAGATGGCAAAAGTGCATAGATAGCAATGGTTTATACTTTGATGAAATAAATATATTATATCAAAAAATATTCCACTTATTGTTCCTCCCATACCAAACACCAATTTCATATGTAAGTACCTAATATCATGTACACTTCAGACACCATAGACTACCTAATTTAGATTTAAATTTCAATTGTCCAAACTGTAATGGTTGCCTGGAAGAAATTGCTTTCTAGCAATAATGCCACCAATTGTACTATTTGTTCTTTGTGTTATTGTTTCCTATTATTGGTGTTTATAAAGAATTATTCATTCATTGATCAACTAGGCTATTATCCAAAAAAATAATTATCTTGATAATTGCCCTGGTTAGTAGTAAATCTATTGTTTAGAAGACTAATATTATATTTACCTGATTGAAAATCTTCTGAGTAAATAAGAATGTCGCATTTGGCCACAGAGATGGAATGTAACAATGCATTTCCTCTTTGATTAGTGTTGATGAGAGGTGTGATGGCTCCCAAACGGGCATTACCCAGCCACATAGCGGGTAATTGCGGACAGTTGCTCACTAATAAGCCAACTATGTCACCCTTTTTAACACCTTGAGATTTCATTAGAGCTGTCATGCGTAAGCTAAAATCTTCAACCTGTATAATATAAATATTTACTTATAATTTTTAAAATTAAAATTAATTAATCAAATAATAAATCATAGATAGTTTACTTTACATTCTCATAGCAATTATTCATGTTTAGAATATATTTAAACAAAAATCAACAATTTGACTGATTTTTTATTTAGAACCCTCAATGAGTTCAATTGATAAATGTTTACAAATCATACTATTAATTGTGTCATGTGATAATTTCTCCCAAACTATAATAATTTGTATTTGCTTAATCTATAGCATATATTGATTAAAAGTAGTAATAATGAAGCAGTAGCAATTAGTTTGATATATTTTTCTAATTTTCTAGAAAACTACCAAATTATATTGTCATATTATGAGAATGCCTTTATAAGTAATTACCAGAGGTTGGATTTAGGTAGAGTTATTTATGTACTTGCATTGAAATGTTGATATTAATGTGGACCTTCATGGCAACATCACGCGTATTGGTATTTTGCAACTTTGGACATCCGATGTCATTGATGTAAGTTTGGCAACGTTGTGCGTGCAGTAGTTTAAATTGTGTAAAAGTAAATAACTTTTTATTTAAAAGATCATGGGATTTTTTCTGCTCTTTAAAATAAATCTCAGGATTTGAGGCATATCCACTTTATTCTTTCGCTGTATGAAATCAGTGTAAGTACATGAATAACTCTACCTAATTTCGACCACTGGTAATTACTTATGTTTGTAAATATAAATTTATCACAAAATAGTTAGATAAATATAAGATAAATCCTCTTTATTAATACCTCTTTAAATGTCCACACTTCATCTTGAAACATAAAGCATGGTTTGTCTGGATGCCTTTGAACAACATCATGGAAAATATCTGGCAATGTCCAATTCCTTTTGGCAAATTTATGAGCTATCCATAGTATCTGTATGTAGGATATCAATGCCCTAAAAATATATCATAAGAAATAATAAAAGTGTTAACATAAACTTATACTTTTGTTGAAGACCTAGTAATTGACAATGTCAACAATTTTTACATTTTCCTGTATTATCCCTTGTGGGGTAGATGGAGGAACCAAACATCACAAAGTATGGTTCTTTCATAGATACTTGCTGGTTTTTTATATTTTCTAACAGTACACAATTGATTTGATCATGAAAGGTGTGTTGTGACCAAACTTTTTAATAAAACTTTAAATAGTCATTAACATATCCAGTTATCTAAAACTATTAAACTTGAAAATATTAAATAAGTTTAAAATAAATTGTGGATATTTGCCATTTTATAGTAACTTAAAATGATGATACATCATCAACAAGACTACAAGTGCAGTTGGGATTATTTACTAAAATAATATTGACAAAATATAATTTATTAAATAGATGTATAATATTAAAAACCTGCTTTTTTGGTTGAGTATGAATTTAGAATTAATAATCAGGCAATCTTATCCAGTTAAACTATTCATTCAATATACCATTTAACATCCAATTAGATAAACATTAGTAGATATAAAATTTATTGTGTGACTTCTGTAATTTGTAATTTTCCAAATTGCATATCTTCATAATAACCCCAAAGCACCTTCCTTATATGTAAAACCCTAGCATATTAGCACTAATTCTCTAATATCTGAGAAAATGAAGATGTAGGAAGTTAAAAAACAGAAAGTAACACCGAAAATCTTCAAATCAATTATAGTTAATATTTTACTATATTAATAAATATAAAAGGTAATGAAATTATAACATAATTATTATTATCAAACAATGTAAACCTCCTAGGTTTATAATATATTATTCTTTACTCGAAATATTATTTAGAGGACCAGATGACGAATGACAACAAGTAAAATTTAAGTTTATTTACAGACCATCTACTCAAAATAGAAAAAAATTGAACATAACATATATGAGATGACGTACAAGATTTTATTACCTCAAATCTCTTGGAGTAGTCTTCACCGCCACGTAACACCATCTCGGATGGAATACCAGACCATACAGAATAGTTAGGAATAGTGAAACTGCTATTGTACAAAGAAATCCATGTGAAAGCCAAACTGCGGCGCATACCGCTAAGATAGCAGTAACTGCTAATATCATGGCAACTGCTTTTCGCCACGAGAGGCGCCGAACTGAACAACGTCGAACCACTGTGCTGTTTTAGAGCCAAAATTGCTCAGTCTCACAACTCAATTTTGTTTCGAATGATGACGATGAATAAAATTGATTAAATTAATAATAACGGGACGACAGACCCCACGAATCTGTCATTTTATTGACATTTATGACATTACACTAGTGATGTGCGGAATCAATTATCATTAATCGATAAATCGATTTTTCAAATAATTAGTCGCTATCGATTATGATTTCCTAAACGACGATTAACCATCGATTATTTTTTAAAACATTTTAAACATGAAAGATAGCTGGAAGGGTTGTCATGGAGAAATCAATAACGTACCGTAGAGACATCTAGTTTGATTTCGGGAATTTAAATAATTCTAGTTTGGTTTTAAATACTTCCTCATTACTAAGGCAACTTTCCAAGCGGTTGAAATCGCGGGTACAGCTAGTTTAATTCCATAAGTTTGACTTAGTCTCGATCACTGACCAGTGACTATATCATAGAATACTCTCTTATAACTTTTATTTTTTAGTTTTAATCATAATATTAATATCTAACTGTAGTAATATTGCTTCAATTTTGCATTGTAACTATAATTACCGTTTAAATTTTTTTAGATCACAAAATCAACATTACATTTTATAAATACAAAATCTATACTCACATCACACTGGAGGCTGTTACATTATTTTACACCAATATAATTTACAATCACATGCATATATACATCTTATACAAAATGCATATTTTATAATTTTGCAACAAATATTTTATACAACATATTCATATAACATATACAAACATTATACAGACATTGCACAGGAAACTTTTACAATAAATTTCATCTATGAGATTTACAATCAAATGCTTAATATTTTATACTTTTATGGACTATCTGACAAACTTTACAATATTTAACACTTTTTATCTTAACATTAAACAGAAACATAACTTAACTGAAGTAGACTGTTCTGTAACCCTGGATATAATTGGATACAGTAGCACTAGAGTTACATTATTAATTCCTGAATTATCAGCGAGTGCTAGGGTCAACATAGGTTTATTATATTATGTTTCTAAATGCACAAAAGTTCTGAACAACTTTCGTCCCGGTTGGCGCAATGTGTAATATGGAGGACTACCGTTGTAGCTTAGATGAGGATCTGTTTCGATCTTTATCCTGTGCAGTGAAGGATTTCAATAAGTATACACCACTGTCCAAAACCGCACTTTCTATCTTGACACAAAACATAAGAAGCATCAACCATAATTTTTCTGATTTTGAGGTATTACTTGGACGACTAAAATATGATTTTGATGTCTTAATATTGACTGAGTGCTGGATTTCATGTAATCCGATTATTCCGTTGTTAGGTGATTGCGTATCACTTTCTTCCAAAATAACTCACAATCAAAACTTTTCAGTAGATGAACCTGATTTTCATAAGGGAAACTGTCTTCTTATCACTCTGGGAACAGAAACTGCTATTTTAGCTGTCTATAGACCGCCTGCTTTTAATTTAAAATCAGACATTGATCTATTCATCTCGTCAGTTGGTACGCCGTTAGAGAAATTATCCTCATATACTTAACAACATTATACTTGCAGGTGATATAAACTTGCCTTTAAACTCTAATAAACTAGATAATAATTCTGAAAACTACCTGAATCTCACTGCTTTCTATGGTCTCTTGCCAACATACACCCTTGTTACAAGAGATCAAAGTGGAACATGTATTGACCATATTTTGCTTAAATCTAAATTGAATTCTTTGACAATTGTTCCTGATTCCACTGTTACTGACCATAAAGCAGTTGCTTTCTTCCTCTATTCTCAACCTAGTAGGAACGACTTATGTACAGCGCATTAAAAAGAGAATTAATGTACAGGGATTAAACTCCGATATTTTAAATATTGATCCTGGACCTATATATAGCTGTGATGATCCCAATTTTCAAATGAGCTATATTATAAATCAAATAAAACACGCAGCTGATCAAAATACTAAGAAAGTTACAAACCCAAGGTGGAAAAGAATCTTTAATCCCTGGATTACCCCGGGGCTGCTGAGATGTATTAGGTTCAGAGACAGATTACATTCTAGAAATAAACGGAATCCTGCGGATGAAACTCTTAAGCTTACTTATATTCGATACAGAAATTTCTGTAATAATCTACTGAAAAGAATAAAGAGGCAATATGATAAAGATCAAATACAAAAAGCTGGTAACAATAACAAAAAGATATGGGAGGTCATTAAAAACATAACCTATAATAGTGATAATAAGGACAATGCGAATGAACTTTTAACTATATCTTCAAATCCTGAACAATCTGTAGATAGAGTAAATAATTATTTTGTTAATATTGGTAGAGAACTTGTTAATAACTTCAGTGGTACGAATCATGTGGCAAACTGTAACCAATCCGGAATGTCATCGGTGGATTCATTTGTTTTGTTGGAGACTGACGAGACGGAGGTTACAAATTTGATCATGAATCTAAAGAATGACAGTGCTGCTGGTTGGGACGATATATCAAATCAGCTGTTAAAAACTCATAAGACTTTCTTGTTCCACATTTAACGTACATCATTAATAACTGCCTGCATTGTGGTGTTTTTCCTAAAGTCCTAAAAAAGTCTATCATTATCCCAGTTCATAAGGGTGGGGACAAAGCCTGTGTCTCTAATTACCGGCCTATATCAATATTGCCCTCAATATCAAAAATTTTTGAAAAGATTATTAATGTGCGACTAGTTGATTACCTCGAAAAAAATAAAATTCTCTCTGAAAATCAATTTGGTTTTCGAACTGGTAGGTCGACAACTGATGCTATGCATGCAATAGTCGACTTAATTACTAATAAACTAGACGAGGGTATTTTTTTGGATCTGGCAAAGGCCTTTGATACGGTCTCTGTTCCTATTCTTTTGAAGAAGTTGCAAGGGTTTGGAATTCGTGATAACCAATTAACATTTCTGGATGCTCTAGCAGCGAGTCATTGGTAACACACGGTGTCCCCCAGGGGAGCATCTTGAGTCCCACTCTTTTTCTTGTGTATATCAATGAGCTCTGTCAATTCAATCACCTATGCATATGACGCGGTCCTTATGTTTTCAGATAGAAATTTGAGTGGGATCTGTGAGGCTGCTCAACAAGGGTTAAATCGAGTAAATGCTTGCCTGAGTTCAAACTTTTTGACTCCAAATGCGAACAAAACCAAATGTATTTTTTTCACAATACGGAATACTTCAAGTGACTCGCTGCAATTTCGCAAGCTCCGCTTACATATTTGCAGCCCTCGAATCGCTGATAACTGTCACTGTGCAGTGGTTAATTATGTAAATGTCATTAATTGGAGGTGGCTCAGCGATCAGTTTTGAAGGTTTGTACTTTTAAACCATATCTGTATCCCACCAGCCTTCTGTTGAAATTTTGCGTAGTATTTAGCGTCAGGGGGTTGTTTTTATTATTTACTGTTTTGAAAAAGCACGCAGAAATTGACTTTGACCAATCAAACTCTCAGAGACGGCGTAAGGATATTGTTTGCAGACATAAGTGAGGTTGCCGAACAAGTTTCGCTAAACGTTCTTACATCTTCCTTGGAAACTTTGTTTATAATAAGATAAGCAGATATATTACCATTGCCCATTTGAATAAATACGAGTGCAAGAGGAAAGTCACTAGCTTTCTTCTTTCTCTTGACTACGATAAGAAGGAGCAGCTACTTACTACAGTTTCATAATAGAATACATCAAACAAAATCTCATACTCATACACTCAGTCATACAATCTTTATTTATTTGCACAAACAACATTTCAACACACACACACACACACACACACACACACACACACACACACACACACACACACACACACACACACACACACACACAAATAGTTATAAAAATGCAGATATAAATAGTTTTTAGTAGAATAAACAAAACATTAATAAAAATTGTAACTTTGATAAGTAATAATATTATCTTCATTAGGTCTAATTGGGGTAGTTGCGCTGTCTTGCCAGATGACAGGGTGATAACCACCTTAGTTTGGCAGCAGATGCCTTATTATACAAGTAAAACTTATTTTAATTATCGTATGATTTCAATAATGTCAATATTATTCAATTTATACTACTTGTATATTTAGGAAACTGTTGTTACTGGAAATGAATTATTATTATTATTATAAATTTTGCATGAACAATGCTGGTATAGTAAACATTGTCTTATAATTGATTTTTAACTATTTTTCATTAACTTGGATGGCTTTAAAATACGGTGGAATTAATCTGAAAACATTAATAAACTTTTGGGGTAAAAATATTTAATAATCGTTGACATTAATCGATTCGACAAGTAGGGATGTGATAAGAATAATACACTCTGTAGTAGCGAAAAAGTAACAAATGCTTGAAAGATTCGTCAGTCCTGTTATGTCATGGGTTCGAGTCCCGTCTTAGAGTACCAGGGACTAAGTGGACTTTTTAAACAATTAGAATATCTTCATTAGGTTGTTTTATTTATCTTTCTAGTGAAAATACTTAGGGCATTTGTGCACTACACTGAATTTTCAGATCCGGCGGTCCGATTTTTCTGGTCCGGATCAATCAGTCAATCAATTTTGTCTTGTATTTTAATACAAAAAATTGAATCAATAGAATTTCTATACTAAACGATGTGAATTCGGACATATAAGGGAATTCGAATTCGAGTCTGGATTTTTACAGAATTGCAGGGCAGAGCGGCACACTTTAGTGCAGCTCTCTTTGAAACTACACGTCACTTACGCTAGGTAGGATGAGATTTTTGGAACGTCGGTAGTTACTTGCTTTATTACTCTACGTGCGAACACGTAGAATACAAAAAATGTTGGGTTCTTCCCCTTATAAGTGAAAGGTACCTAAATAATGACCTGACGGGGTCATTTTAATTAAACCATAATAAATTGAGGCAGGACGAAAGCATTTTTTTTTTACTACTATCGGATGTAAAAACTTATACCCTTACTCATTTAGGAACAGCGTTATTCACATACAATAGCCAAAAATATCATCAATAATATATATCACTAGATGGCGACATCAATAATAATATTTTTATTTTATGTGTGGTGAATGATTGATTAGGGTTTTTTCATCAGCAACAAAGGTCATAAAAACGATAATGATAATAAAATATCTGTTTATTATGTATATACTACCCGAGATGTATCAAATATACTAGATATTCTTACAAAATAACATGTCTTCTGGTTAGAATGACGTTTGTGAAATTAAGAATTAAAAAAACTATGATCAGTCATTAAATTTTATATTCATAATTAAATCATCTTAATAAAAATTAAGCTATCAACAAGAACCGTCCGTCCAGTTAGTTAGGCCGTACAGTTCTTATGCTCGTGCTATCGCTACTAACCTTGCATGTCGACGGCGGACTTCGAGCCAGGGTTATGTTAATGAGGAAGTATTAAAAAAAAAACATTCGTTCCCGAAATCAAATTAGATGTCGCTACGGTACGTTTCTGATTTCTCCATGACAACCTTTCCGGTTTTCTTTAGGGGTGTCCGTTAAGAAAATACATCGATGTTTTTTTCGATGCAATACATCACGACTATGCATCGATACTTTTCGATACATCGGTTTAAAACATCGATGTTTTTCTAAAATCGAGTACTTTTTTAACAGTTTTAAAAAATGATTACCAAAGGTAAGTGTGAAAATATCCTTTATTTTTATTACAAAAAGTACAGTCAAGTCTATGAATTATGTATACACTGTGGAACCTTATCATACTAACACTTACTCAATAGTCGTAGGACCTCGGTACATCGAAAATATATCTATTTATATAATGTGACAGGGGTCTCATTTGTAGACCTATTACGAGAAGAGGCGACTGAAAAGACTTTAAAAAAATCAGCGAAAATAAAAATCCTAATGGAATACTGGAAATATTTCCAGTGTTCTTTTGGAAGACTTTGCAAAAACAGAAGTTTATTTAAGCGGGAGCCCTTTAGTCGATTACGTTGTTGATTAACTGTTTGTGCAGCTTTTGAGAATAAACGTTCAGCTGGTACTGAAGTCCCCACCATGGTGAGGTACTTGTAAGCAATTATATGTAGTTTGGGTAGCTGAATTTTAAGATCATTCCATATCTGTAATGGGTTTTCATTGAGTCTTCCTACTGGACTACGTAAATATATAGATAGCTCGTCAGAACTAGAGCCGTCGACGTTTTCCAGTTCTTACGGACTAATTCCCATAAACAAAAGTTATCTTCAGGTTTCTCAGAATTATCCGAAGAATCTAATTCTACCTCATTTTGTGCTATAGTTTTCAATAAGTCTTTGACTTTTGCAACAGCTGAAGAGCAAGCAAGAGGATTTGTGAAATGCATTTTCTTGAATCTTGGGTCTAATACTGTAGCTATGGCGAGAGGGGTCACATTCTCTATAACACCCATTCTTTTGGCAATCTCTTTTTAGACTAGCCATTTCAGATCTTTTCCAAGAGAATCCTCGAGCTGAAGAATTTGTACTTTTAAAATAAGTGGAATAACCTTGCTGCTAGTGCAGTACAAGTACTGCTAGATAATCAGTACTTGTACTGCACTAGCAGCAAGGTATTCTGCACTAATATTCTGTAAGGTATGCAAATTGCTAATGTACGACACAGTTAAATCCAAATGTAATTAAATGTTTTCTCTTAAAGCTCATCAAATTATCGGGACACACACAAACAACAACACCAACGGTTGATGCTGTCAAAAACTTTTTTAAATTCTTTGTCATTGTGATGTACTGACGCAGTGTTACCAACGTTAATTTCTAGATTCCGTCAATAAAAATTTTAATCAAAATTATTTTTGCATCTATGCTTGCCATGTAAAGTAGTAAAAGCTACCCACGTGACTTTGGCGGAACCTAGAATAATGTACCCTTAGCGGTAAAACATGAGTTCGTCGCTATAAACAGAAGAAGAACCGCTTACTAGCGCCACCATTGCCACCAATAGGTTTTATTTTTGTCCTCTAAAATAAAGCAATTGAATTGAATCATTATAATATACCTAATCAGTAGTTAGCTAGTTACAGTTTATTCGATGTTTCATGAAATACATCGATACATCGAAGAAATTAATAGCTTTCAAATCATCGAATCGATTCGATGTATCGACATGTAAACATCGAGTGAATTCGATGCATCGATGTATATCGAATATCCCTAGTTTTCTTTCATATTTAAAAGTAAATTAGTTTTCAAAACTCAATTAACAACTCGTATTCTATTTGTACTTTTCGTATTTGTATTTTGTATAATCATGGAACATTGGAAATAGACTTTTTCGCACAAAATGTTCCATGATTATACAAAATGTGCTTGGTCCCTCTCTTCTTAGTGAACTCGTAGAAAAGACAGGAAAGTTTCGTGTATTACAGTGCTTTTTTATTCATCTAATACTTTAAAGCATCCGATGACGAATCTATTTGATGAACGAAGCCAGAAAGCATACTATGTTTTATGACTAAAACCAATCTAAAAAAGTAATAAACCATGACACGAAAATAAAACTACAGAAAATGCAAATAGATTAAAAATGTCATATTGAAGTCATAGCAATATACAACATAGGTAGCCTACTGACATACACACACGTCCAGCTAAACATTTGCTTCTATGTAATGAACAATTGGTACCTGTTTTGTCAAATAATTTAACGTTTCATCCATTGTCGAATTCGAAGAGAAAATAAAGTTCTTTTGTATGTCATAAACAATGTTGGTTAATCTATTTTAAACCAAATAAAAAGATTAAATGGGATATTTAGACATTACCTCATTTTTTTATTATTAATTTATTTAATTTTTTTATCACTAAAATTAGCCCTAAATTTTCTTGAGCCCTAAAAAAAGCCCAATCAGTTTATTTCCGCACTAAATTTGGGGCTAAAAGCCCTAAGTTGGTAAGCCTGGGTCCGTGTTGTCACCGCTGGTTCCAGCAACAGTGCAATGGGCGTCACCCATTGCAAAGATTACAATATTATACTACCCATTGCTTGTTCGGAGCTGGAGCCAGTTTTGACAACACACAACATTGCACTTTTTCTTTGTATTATAATATATGATTAAGAATAAATTGTTATTCTAATCTAATTTTTGATAAAGAAAAACAATATGGTTTGAGCCACTTTGTGAAAACTTTATGTTATTAGGGTTATACGTATAAACCTAAGTATGTACTGAGTTTGTTTAGTAAATGGAAATAAAGGAACACTGGTATGTAATAAAATATTTTTATTTACATATTGCATAAAAAAAATTAAATAAACCTCTTCTTAACAATACTCTAGGTGGTAGGTATAGGTAAGTAAACTTAACATTTTCTAAAATCAATCACACATCTTTTAGGGCACAGCTTATTTACTATACAGTTTTTATTAAGTTATAATAACATCACAGTCTGATTTGTCCCGAAATAATTTTATTATATTCTTCTATTCCCAGTGGCAAATATTTTTCTAATTTAGGATCTAAATAATACAGTTTATCTTTTACTATCGACGGATCGTAGCCTTCTTTCTGCAAATCTACTTTTCTCATTTTAAATGTACCTAGAAACAAAAACAGAGTATTATATAAAATTGTTCACATACCTATAATAACGGGGGATAACTTGGTAGATAAATGAGACTGACCAGTTAAAAAGTCTGTTACTGAATATATATGAAAACTTGTTACTTCATAATTTTCTATACAAGTTTATTTATTTATTGTTTTAAGTTTACTCACCAGTCATGTCCACACTCTCCATTTTTCTAATGAATATAGGTCGGGCGTATTTGGGTAGGTCTTTAGCGATGTTCGCTGCTAACCGGTCCAAGTCCAGGGAGTCATCGAGATCTACTATGCCACACATTCCCGCGCGACCTTCCGTGTTCGGAATCTGGTGGGAAATAAATGGGTATGTTTATTTTGAAACGACGGATCCGCTACAGCAATAAGTTCATTGTTGTGAGCGCAGTTTGGCGGCTTAAAAACCCCTTGTTAATTATAATTATTTTATTATGTGACAGCACCTGAAGCAATGGTATGGATAGGACAAACTACACATACCTCCACGCCATAAACGACAGCGTCTCTTTGATCAGCGACCCTAGAGACTGCGGCCTCCACCTCAGTGGTGCTGACATTCTCTCCACGCCACCGGAACGTGTCTCCGGTACGATCTCTAAAGTACAAGTATCCCAGCTCGTCTGCCACCAAGATATCACCTAAAGAAAAAAATGGTGAATTTCATTATATTAATTTTATAATAACAATAATAATCAAATATAAGAATTCGCAAAATTCGATTAAACGAATTTGGAAGGGAAAGACACTTAAAAAAGAAATGTATAAAACAATACTATAGTCAATTTAAATGAATTATCATAAAATTGAAAACCCAATAATGTATTGTTTGCAAATGACTTAGGGTCGTAAGATGCATATTTAATTAGATAAGAATTTGTTGGAACTATTTAGTTCACACACCAACCTTCTTTCATATATCTTTTGATAGGCCACTTTGTTTTTTCTCTTTATATTCTTTGTCATTGTCAGTTTGTTTTCTGTTTAAAATATTTATCAAGAAAATACATAAGTCTTTTTATCTTACATATTATTATTTTATTTGGAGTTGAGAGAATACCTATTTAAAGGCAATAAGTTCCTTTTGGTTATGGGCCCAGGAGCTCTGATACTCTAAATTTTTGCAATTCGAACATAAAAAAAAAATGGAAGGAGATTCTTGTACAAAACCTTTCTCTCATACAAACGCAAGTAATAGTAGTGTAGTATCCTATATTTCAACTGCACATACAGTAAGTACTCCATCTTTTAACAAATTAGAAGGGCGTTCAAACTATGCAACATGGGCATTCTCAATGGAGATGATGCTGATTGATTTTGGACTATGGGATTGCGTGAAGCATCCACCTTTTGACAATAGCTCACCAGAAATGCAACGCTCTGATGACAGAGCCCGATCTAAAATTGGCTTGTGCTGTCATGAAAGAGTCTTCTCTAAAATAATGGGATGTAAATCTGCATTTGAAGCGTGGAATAACTTAAAAAGGGCATACGCAGACAGCGGACTTATTAGAAAGCTCATGTTAATGAAAAAACTAATGAACTGTCGATATATTGATAATATGGAAACTTATGTTAATGAGATTATGTCGACACACCAACAATTAGAACAAATAAACCACAAAGTAGATGATTCGTTTGTTGCAATTATACTGCTTTGTAGTCTACCCGATCAATTTAAGCCACTCGTCATGGCATTGGAACATTCTGACACTGAACTAACATCAGACAATGTCATTGCTGCACTTATGAAAGAAGACAGCCGAGATCTAGCCACCTGCAGTAAAACACCTGAAGATAGTGCTTTAGTGTTGTCTTACAACAAATTTAATAGAGACACTAAGAACATATTTTGTAATTACTGCCGTAAACCAGGGCATATAAAACCAAATTGTAGAATTCTTAAAGCTAAATCCAAAGATGAAAAGGCCGAAATTTGCGAGGTAACACTTGTGGTTGATGATCAGTCCGTGACTAATTCTAATTTTGATAATTTGGATATTAGTGAAACTTTTGTAAACTCTTTTATGTGTAAACCAATTTTTGATAAGTCGCTTCTTGCAAAGAGTGATAACTGGTTTATAAATTCCGGGGCTACAAGTCATATGACTAATAGACGTGATTGGCTACATGATACTAAACCTGTCACGAAAAGTATTAGAATAGCTAATGATCAAATAATTCTTTCAGATGCCATTGGTACTGTAAAACTAAACACTTCCAATATTACCGATGTTTTGCATGTTCCGAACCTCTCAACGAACCTGCTTTCAGTGAACTCATTGGTAAAGAAAGGGAATGTCGTACTTTTTTCGAAATCTGGAGGAAAAATTATTGATGGAGAAACGTGTAAGGTATTCGGAAAAGTTTTATGCACAGCCTCAAATATCAATGGTATGTACAAACTTGATTTACCTACTGCTCACGCGAATTTAACAGAAGTTAAAGAAAATTCAGCTGAATTATGGCACAAACGCCTTGGTCATCTGAACTTCAGATCTATGGAATTGCTTAGAAAAAACTTAGCTCTTGGTGTCAGGTATCCAAAGCCTGCTGGATCTATTAAAGATAATTGCATTGCTTGCGTGGAAGGTAAATTATCAAAGCAACCTTTCAAAACGTCAGATTCAAAATCGACAAATTTGTTGGAAATTATTCACAGTGACGTTTGCGGATTTATGAGTACCCAATCTTTGGGAGGTGCTTCATATTTCGTGACTTTCACTGACGATTTTTCTAGAAAAACATTTACCTACCTAATTAAACAAAAATCAGAAGTTGTGGAAAAATTTCGCGAATTCAAAAGCTTAGCCGAGAACCAAACTGACAAAAAGATTAAAATTCTACGTTCTGACAACGGTGGTGAATATTTGAATTCGGAAATGAAAGAAATTTTGAAACAGTCCGGTATAGTTCACCAAACGACTGTGCCTCACAATCCAGAGCAAAACGGCCTGGCTGAAAGAGTCAACAGAACCTTAGTAGAGAAAGCCAGATCTATGCTCTCAGAATCTGCTCTACCTCAAAGTTATTGGGGAGAAGCAATCAATACAGCGACTTACTTGAAAAATCGCTCACCGACTAAGGCTATTAGAGGGAAAACCCCTGAAGAAATCTGGACAGGAAGAAAAGTGGATCTTTCACATCTTCGTATATTTGGATGCAGAGTTTATGCGCACATACCTAAAATTCTTCGAAAGAAATTTGATGCTAAGGCCAAACTATGCATATTTGTAGGTTATTGCACCGAAACTAAGGGATACAGAGTAGTTGATCCTGAACATCCAAAAATTCTTATTAAGACAAGAGATGTAAAATTTTTTGAAAATGATTTTTTATTCAAATCGCAGTCAAGTGATCAAAATAATATGGTTGATAAAGTTGGAACTCAAGTATCAGAATCCGTCCCTATTATAGTTACAGAAAATTCTGAAAATATACCAAACGAAGGAGAAGTCAACAACATTATTACTGAACCTTTTATAGTTACAGAAAATTCTGAAAATATACTAACTGAAGGAGAAATCAACAATATCGAAACTGAACCTTTAACACACACACAGGTAACTGGAAATGACGACACTGAAGAAGAATTTTATGACAGTGTTAATGAAATTTCGGATAGTACAAACAATCAAGTTTCTCAACCTGTTAGGAGATATCCATTGAGAAACAGAATCCCGAAAAAGTGGTCAGAAGATATAGTTCTCTACAAAGCTGAAGAAGATGATATCCCTTCAACCTTTAAGGAAGCCATTAGTTCTGATGATAAAAATAAATGGCAAGAGGCTCTTCAAAGTGAATATGACTCACTTGTAACTAACAAAACTTGGGTCCTTGTGGATAGACCTAAAAATAGAAAAATAGTCCGTTGTAAATGGGTATTCAAAATAAAGAAAAATGAAAACGGAGAAAACACACGCTATAAGGCACGATTAGTAGCCAAAGGCTTTACACAAACTTACGGCGTAGATTATGACGAAACATTCGCACCCGTTTCACGCCTTTCAACAGTTAGATTACTGCTTGCTTTCGCAGCACAATGGAATATAACAATGGATCAAATGGATGTTGAAACTGCTTTTCTTAACGGTGATCTAAATGAAGAAATATATATGGAACAACCTGAGGGTTTCACTAAAGAATGCAACAAGGGGAAGGTATGCCAGTTAAAGAAAGCACTTTATGGTTTAAAACAAGCGCCTAGACAGTGGAACCTTAAACTTAACGAAGCAATGATGCAACTTGGAATGAAAAGGTCTGAACATGATCATTGCCTATATTATAAAGTTAATGAAACTTGCATGTTAATTGTTGCAATCTTTGTTGATGATTTTTGCATTCTCAGTAATAATGCTGATATGAAAGAAAATTTTAAAAGGGATATTAAACAATTTTTTAAGGTCAAGGATTTAGGAAAATTAAAACATTTCTTAGGAATGAGAATCGCAAAAGAGGAAAATGGTATAGCCATTGATCAAGAAGAATATATTAAAAAGGTACTAGATAATTTTGCTATGACTGATGCAAAACCGGCTAGTACACCTGCTGATCCTAATTTAAAGTTAGTGAATCCTTCAAATGAAGATAAAGAAGCAGCTCAACATTTGCCTTATCAAAGACTGGTTGGTTCTCTTATGTATCTATCTGTAGGAACTAGGCCAGACATTACACATGCAGTAAGTGTGTTAAGCCAGTTTAATTCTAATTATGGGACAATTCACTGGAATGCAGCAAAAAGAGTTCTACGATATTTAAAAGGGACAATGCATCTTAAACTCCGATTCCAGAAGAAAAATATACTCACTCTTACGGGCTATACTGATGCTGATTATGGTGCATGTTTAAAAGACCGGAAATCCTACACTGGATATGTATTTTATTTAAATGGACCTATATCATGGGAATCACGTAAACAACGAACGGTCGCCTTGTCAACAACCGAAGCCGAATATATGGCACTTAGTGATGCTGCAAAAGAATCCATATATCTCAAAAACATATTGAAGGAAGTGTTTGGTTTAGATAATGGTGTCTGTATTTATAGTGATAATCAGGGAGCTCAACTGCTAACAAAAAATAACGTTCATCACTCACGAACAAAGCACATTGATGTTAGACATCATTTTATTAGGGATACTGTTGCTAGTGGTATTATTGGTATACAATATATTCCGACAAATGAAATGAAGGCAGATGTCTTAACCAAGTTTCTATCGAAGCAAAGACATCAGTGTTTAACGAAAGGATTAGGTTTAATTTAACATTTATAATGGCCTATTAATTTATTCAGAAGTAGGGGAAGTGTTGGAACTATTTAGTTCACACACCAACCTTCTTTCATATATCTTTTGATAGGCCACTTTGTTTTTTCTCTTTATATTCTTTGTCATTGTCAGTTTGTTTTCTGTTTAAAATATTTATCAAGAAAATACATAAGTCTTTTTATCTTACATATTATTATTTTATTTGGAGTTGAGAGAATACCTATTTAAAGGCAATAAGTTCCTTTTGAATTAGTGCTATCGAGTTCCCTTAAACCGCATAATACACCTTACATCCTTACCTGAAATGCATGTGACACCAATAATACGAATCCAATAACCATTACCATCGAATATATCTAAACCAAATCTAGAATATTCCAATAGCCGTTTTTTAAGTAACGGAAAATTAATGAAAACAAAAATGCTTTTAATTCGTTTATTACGAATCTTGTAAGTTATGAAAAAGAAACATTTTACAATTATTAATAATAAATAATTTAAATGATTTTCGAGTAATGAAGAAGTAAAAAATAGACATCGAAAACAAACTATCTGTGACATTTAGAAACGAGCCTATTTAAAATGTTTTTTAATCAATTTTCTAATTTTTAAAATATGTTATATCCAACCTGATATAAAAGCAGAGTCTCCAAAATTGAAAACATCGCGTACAATTTTCTTGTCCGACGCTTCTTTGTCCACGTACCCGAGATAAGCTCTCGACGCAAGTTTCGGATTTATTTTCCCGATAAATACACCGGGCTCTCCTGGTTTTGCCAACTAAAAGAAAATAAAATTAATAGTAGGCAGAGACCTAAAGATTTACAAAGATTAGATGTAGTTTTTGTACCTGACACAATCCTTTTGAGTTTCTTATTGGTTCGCCTGTCTCTTGATCTACTTTGAGTATTGCTATAGGATAAACTGCTGGGATAATTCTTGATACAAATCCAATGGCGCCCATTTTGTTGTTTACGTTAACTGAAAAACATGAAACAAATGTTTATTTATGAAATGCCCTTGCTACTTATTAATAATTTATTTTCTTCACAAAACTATATAATTATTGAGAATTTAACTAAAAACTGTAATACACTATAAACATACCAATATTTGCATTTCCTTCAGTAGCGCCATAGAATTCTGATACCCTCTTTATTTTGAACCTTTTGACGAATTCAGGCCAGACCTTAAAAATAGTACACCAATTATGTTATTAAAACCTCCATAGTTTACCACAGATTTTTTATATATTTCCCTTATGGTATAAAACAAACTTGTTGCTTTCATCATATTTTTTTAATATACACTTTAATAAACACTGTAATTAAAGACATTAAAATAAAAATAAAAAGTACTTACGACTTGTCTCATCCCGTTGCCATAAACGACGCGAACTTTGTGCTGTGTATCAATTGGAGATGGAGGCGTAGCCAAGATATAACGGCACATCTCACCGATATAATGTGCCGCCTGGTGAAATAATTAGTATACGTAATTATTAAATAGAAATTTATTCCCAATATCTAAACAATAAATAAAACACTATAGCCTAGTTAGACTAGAAACCAAACCGTCGCTTTGTTTGTCTGTGTGTCTGTATGGGAAGAACTCTTTAGAGAATTTTGAAAGTTATTTAGTTATCACCAGTAAAAACGATAAAATTAAAATCAATTAATTAAAAAATTGGTTAACATTTTTTTTTTCTATATTAACAATAAGTAGAATGTACTGAAGGCCCGATATAAGATGGAGCAAGCAGAGGATATGTATCACTACATAGTATAAAACAAAGTCGCTTTATCTTTCCCTATGTATGCTTAAATCTTTAAAACTATGCAACGGATTTTGATGCGGTTTTTTTTTTATATAGGCTGATTCAAAAGGAAGGTTTAGGTATAATACAAAACCATGCGGGCGAAGCCGCTGGCGGCAAGCTAGTAAAGAGATAAAAACGAGAGACCGCAAAATCAGGGGCTGCGGAATCTTCAACATAAGATCAAGCTGACAAATTTTTGTTATTTATTAATTTACACTTAATTAATCAACCTTCGTAACTAATTTACACTTTGATTAATCAAAGTGTAAATTAATAAAGAGCAGCATTGCTAAACGCATGAAAAAATTGATAAATAATATTCAATGAATTTACTTACAGTGGCATTATACTTGGTGCAGTCTTTGAAATATGCGGATGCTGAGAATTTCTTTTTGAGAACCAATGTACAACCAAATATAAAGGCCTGTCCCATGGTAATGCATCCACCGGCCGAATGATATAGAGGCATAGGACAATAAATAATATCATTGCGATTCAAACCTCCTAAATAGTGGACGCCAGATGCCATGAAAACCATTCTAGAAAGATAATTATATAATGGTATTAAGCAAAAACGACGTCTCAAGCAAGGCTAAAAATAACATTTTAAATTGTTTAAAAATGCAATCATGAAGACATAATATACTCATAATAGACTCTCAAATTATTAGTCATCACAAGACCAAGGAGGAGGATCCATGTATTTTATCATTTGGCAAACGTAAACGCTACATCGAAAGCTATTAAAGTATTTACCTTGATGATGAAATTACTGCAGCTTTCGGGAGACCCGTTGTCCCAGATGTGTAAATATAGAGGATCTTTCCATTAAAGCCATCCCCTTCCGATTTAGTCCAAGCAGCGGGAGGTGTGCTCTCCAACATTGACGTGAAGTCATTTGTGGAGTCTACAACTCTAACTCCATCATTCGATGGGTTCAGTTTCCGATTGGTGAATTTGTATAATTTTATAGACGGATTCAGATCTTGAGAAATTTCTTGGAATGCTGAAACAAACATTTTTATTAGCTAAAGATGTATATAATACAAAGTTTAAACGTAAATTTACGATTAAATTCATTAAGCTTACTCGTATATTTAAAACATTATTTTAGACATTAAACAATAGTTCAAAACGTTCGGATTTTCTTTAGAAAAAGTCACCTGGCTCAAATTCATCTCCATAGATGACCATATCGCACTTAGCAATATTGATGGAATGAAGCAACGTGTTGCCTGTCTGGTTAGTGTTGATTAGGGGTGCTACTCCACCCAACCGTGTGATGCCCAACCAGATGGCTGGCATCTCCGGACAGTTGCTCATCATTACACCAACTACGTCGCCTTTCTTGACACCCTTGGATCTTAGTAAAGCGGATGTCCGTAAACTGAAATCTTCAACCTAGAAACCAGTTTAATGTTATCATTGTATATATATTGCCACATAATATCGATAATAGTTTATTTAATTAATTAATAGGAAAGCTAAAAACGATGAAGGTCGGAAAATGGGCTTTAGTTATCCTGTAAGATCTAATATCTCCTATTTGTAATATCTCGAATGACGTTAAAATTTCAAGTATCTTCCTTGCTGATTTATCAAGCTTCAAGAATATATAACGCTTGAAATAAAGCAAAGCCTAAAAATGGTTTCTTTTAAAAACATGAATAGAATCGATATAATTGATACATATATTTTATGCCGATTCTGAAACACTAATAAAAATCATATACAAAGAACTGCACCATTTTAACTAAATTACTATGAACCAATCGCGAAAATTACTATTGAGAATCAACTACTATCCAAATTTATATCGATAATAAATTGGGGTGTAAAATATTTATTTTGAAAATACTTCGTAAGAGGAGGTTTCAGTATCTATTCATTTCCATGTTATTGTTACATCAAGGAGACAAATATGAAATATAACACTTCGTGTGTCATCCGGCAATGTTTGCGATGTTTTGCCGGTAATTAATAATAGCCACATTGTTTCTATCTTTTAATAGACTACCATTACTTAATGCTAATCAAGTATAAGGCAATGCGGCTATTGTGAAAAGACACCATACATTAGCGATTGTAGGTACCAAAATAACTTATTTCCATTAAAAAATAGGCTTTTTATTTAAAGATCCGATATTGGATTAAGGCCTTGAGGTCTAGTGGCAGAATTTTAATTTACATAAAGTTCGTTTTACTTTAGTTTTTGTTTTGCTAATATCAAAAGCTAAAATCGTATTCCAGCCATATGTGAAATTAATCGTAGTGTAAATTCAACTGTCAATAAGTAGTGCTAGTGTTCCAATCTGTTTATTTTATTATGGGCCAGCTTCATCACTTGCTGATAAATAGCCAATTGTACAAACGTCCATTAAAAGTGTCATTAGTTCAAATTGACAATACCGATACAATTTGACATTCATTACAGCTTAAAGGCGTTATTAATCCTTAATGGATGTTTGTACAACTGACCGAAAGTCCCTGATAGCCTATCAGAAACTTATCTGCCAGATAAATTGCAAATTGTGGTTTCACAAGTCTCAGATACAACTATCTCACGGATAACAATCAGTAACATTTAATTGTTAGATAACTATCTGTAACTTTATCAGGATGTGGTGAAACAGGCCCTAAGAAGTTTAAATAATGTGATTCTGATTAGTCTGGACTTTTGTTTTTTATTGAATGACAATGTAAAGAAATGGAGTCGATCCGAAGGTGTAGCCAATAGGATTTCTGGAATTAATCGAAACAACGCGGTTGAGTATGGACTCGTTTGTTTTGTCTTGACATGAAAACTACATGGTCCGAGATATACCAGCGAACTGGAACGTGATCACTAAACATTTTATATTATCGCTTTATGAAATAACGCTACCCCATGTTTGGGTTCATTTGATTTGTCTATACAATATCTCTGCTCTGAAATAATATCCTATAAAGCGTGTTCTTTTTATGAAAAAAAAAAATATATCAAGTTTAACTTTGTATCACTTGAGTGACGCACACAAAGTAATCGATATAGCCGTTAGTAAACTTATTTTTCAGACATTTCAGTGTAATGCGATGAGTCTCATTACAGTAATAAATATCATTAATCACTGGAGTTCAATGAATAAGAATGTTACAAAGGAGGTTAATACAAAATAATGTCATTACGATAGCACATGAAATTTGATAAATTATACTAGTGAATACTAAATCTATACTGATTTCAGCGATAAATAAAAACGGTAGCTGTTTTAATATTTTATCAAGGCTTTGATTAAAGGAGGTCTTTATATTAGTTTTTATATTTCTAATTTTAGTGTTAATTTACCTGCTTGAAGGTCCATATTTCATCTTCGATCATGAAGCATGCTTTATGTGGATGCTTGATTACCATGTCGTGAAATATATCAGGCATACCAAAATTCTTTTTTGTGTAAGTCCTCGAAAGTGACAAGATTTTCAGGTAGTAATATAGAGCACTGTAAAATAATAAAACAATAGACTATTAAATATTTATAGTACGAATAATTGAGCGCATAAACATTGGTCTATTAAAATTATTCAAATTATTTATACTAGTCTTTACATGTAATAAGTAAAGACCATAGATTACTTTGGGCGAATAAACTGACTTTTTCGAGTTGATTTTATGCAATTTTTTTTATTTTTCAGAATTACACAAATCAAAATATATAATTTGTGTTGTATATCTTTAATTAAAATGCTTAAAAAATCCACCAGATTTTTTAAACCACCAGATTTTACAACCATTTTTCATTAATGATATTTATGAGTACTATAGCATTGCGAATGTAAATTATATAAAATATAATAAATTGTTTTATGTTATTTTTAATAATTTTCGATAAATGAAGTTTTGAGACTATATTTATAAGTGGCATAAATTCTTAAGCACTAGTAAAGATAATTACAAAATTCTTTAAAAACGAATATCAGTCTCTGTATCTTAAGTGATTCTAATCGTATAGAAATAGCTGGATATATTAATACATACAAATACAAAATAAACTTACGTGAAATCTCTGGGCGCAGTCCGAGAAGCAATATAGAGCCATTTCCAATAGAATACTAATACGTAGACGACCACCAATATTGCCAGTACTATTAGACTAGTTTGCCAATCTTGGAATATCCAGGTAACAGCACAAGCCGCCACAAGAACGCAAAGTGCCACAATCATGGCTAAAATCCGTCCCCACGCTATGTCAGAGTCACTTCCAGCAGATCTACCACGTTCCGCGTCCGCGTTTTGTTTTACCTGCCATAATAATAATCACATTATTACAAATAGATCCGTCTCGTTTCAATAACAATTCGTTTTGCCATTGTTAACGTTAGATATATAAATGACTTATCGCCACGCGAGAATAGATTAGATTGTATACAATACGATATGTATGTATTAAAAGATAAAACATATGTGAGTCTCTATGTGATTTGGGAATTCAAATTAATTATTCACATGTTTATTATATATTATAATTATAATATACAGTAATGTAATATCACTATATAGTATAAAACAAAGTCGTTTTCTTTGTCCCTATGTATGCTTAGTATCCCTAGGATTTTGATGAGGTTTTTCTCATGGATAGGGTGATTCAAAAGGAAGGTTTTTATTGTATAATACAAGACCACGCGGGATGCCGCTGGATGAAAGCTAGTCAAAAATAAGGGAATTGTTAATTTTAGAGGCCAAAATTTTCTTAGATATTGAAAATGGTAAAATAAATTTACTAAATCTCAAGGAATTAATAAAACCATTTCATACATAGACATTAAAGTTTTCCGTGATTTGGTCCGTGTAAATTATAGCCTATGTCACCGGCGTACGACGTAGCTTCCCGTAGGCGAAAGAATGTTTTAAAGTCGGTCCAGCTCTGCAATTCTGTAAAAATCCAAACCTGAATTAGAATTCACTCAGGTGTTCGAATTTACTTTAAAACGCTCAGCCTTAAATTGGTAATAACGTTTCGTGACAGAAGTGAAGTGAGTTTCGAAACGACATACGAATAGAATATCTGAGACCCGTATATTCAATCAATTTCGTTTTATATTTTTATACAAAAAAATGAAATCAAAGAATTTCTACACTAAATAACTTGAATTCAGACACATGAGTGAATTCAAATTCCGGACTGGATTTTTACAGAAACGCAGGGCAGTACTTTTGGACACTGCGCCCGCGTGGTCCCTTATTGGATATAGATTCATATCATGACACGTATATAATTGCAATGATAAATTGAATAGTACAGGTAAACAATCGTTACCGTGGCAACATTTCATTTCCTTGTACAAACTTCCGCTTCCATTTTCATCCCTTTATTTGCTGTTTTCGGGATAAAATATAGCCCATGTTTACCGCATATGACGTACCTTCCCGTACAGAATGTTTTAAATCGGTCCAGTAGTTTAGGAGCCTTTTCGTTGCAAACAAATAATAAAATCTTTCCTCTTTAAAATGTTAGTATAATACGTTAAAATTATGATTTTTAATTGAAATCAGTCATCATCATCATTGTAGGATTTGCACGTGTTAGTTTATGAATAATAATGGACATTGGACATATTAATAAAGTCGTTGTTTTCGAAGAGTTATGTTCCGAGAGGTTTCCGCTTTGAATGACGTCAAAGGCCTCTAACTTCGAATGCACATTAAAAAAATTCCTGACATTATTAATTTCTATTTCCAACGGCACTTTGATTTGAAATTATGAGGTATTTCCAACCACACAATAGATATTAAGTTAATACACAATTCTTGTGCGTCACGCAAATAAAGACGCATGTATATTACATTTAGAAATACCGGTTAAATGAGAATCGAATTTGCGCACCGAGATCGGTACAATATAACTGAAGTTTATAAGCTGAAAATCATCATTATCATCACCGGCTTAATAATGTCACCACTACTGGAGTTCAAGCCTTTCTTGTATATGGAATCAGATTGGATTAAGAGAATGGGTCATGATCTATGCGGCCGGATTGGTAAACGTTAAACGGTACCAACTTCTTAACGCGTCTTCCGAAGCATGCAGGAGATAATAATTTTTAGTAACCCATACTATGTCCGGCCGTTATGCAAGTTGCTTAACAACCGCATCGCAGACGGTACGCGCTATCCACTATGTCATTGAGCTCATTGCTTTTTTTTACTTTTTTGGCTTTGGATAACTATTGTCCAATTACCAGCAATTGACTGGATTTATGTCATATGTGACTATATCTGTTACGCTGCCTTTAACATTGATTGCGGAATATGTTGGTTTCTTGACATAGTAAAACATTAACTTTAACCAGCTAAGCTTGGCCGGTGTTTTGCTTGGGACAAACGATATTTATATATCCTATTAATATTATAAAGGCGAAAGTTTGTAAGTATGGATGTATGGATGTTTGTTACTCTTTCACGAAAAAACTACTGGACGGATTTGGATAAAACTTTACAGCAATATAGGTTATACATCAGAATAACACATAGGGTACTTTTTACTGGGAAAACTTCTCACTCCCACGGGATACCGACTTCCACGCGGACGAAGTCGCGGGCGTCCACTAGTATACCATATTTGTTTTTTTATTGTTAAAGTAAGTCGGTGTAACCAAGTCTAAGTATAATAAAGAAGTAACAGTCGGCTGAAGTGACTTATCGAAAGTAAATAAATAATATAATTTTTTGATGTAACTCTATTTCTTTACGTTCAAACTTAACGACATTATATGTATAGTTTTTTTATTATAATAATTATTGGACATTCCATATTAGTAATTATTTAAACCAATATATTTTAATACGCGGAGCATAAAAATGTTGACCTTTTTACGAAAATTAGCGTGGTTAGATTGGTATAAAATTCGGCATAGAGTTTATATTGTGAATAATACAAGTACATACATACATTATCTTTGTTAACTGAACTAAATGATGAAATTTTATGGTCGAATTTCGACAAACGTTAACCTCTAGTTTCATAAAATATAAGACTGATTTTCTACATTCAACAAGAACTGCTCATTTTTTTATAAATTTACGTCTCGCAACTAAAAACGTTCAGAATTTCGCATGGTGTATTAGTCATAGCTTTTTCTATCACATTAAGCAAAATGTAACATTGAAAAACCGGCTTGTAATTATGAAAAAAAAATATATAAGGAAGAATAATTATACTGGTCCTAGCTACGCAGAGGATTTTAATTTTGATATGATTCCAATTTATGTCTTTAGTTATATTTTTGTGGGTATAATCGTTTTAATTTTCATATATTACATACATTAAACATAATAACTTTATAACCATTAAAATTTAAACAATTTTGTTTTCATACAAATCTATCAAATCACTGGAAGTAAGTAAAAGTACGCGTCATAAAATTAGATTCGACATTTCATTTTCGTTGTGCGTTCGAAAGTGCATAACTTTAAGATCAAGGGTTCAAGACAGAGGTCATAGATAATTCGTTGACATTTAAAAGGAAAAATACATACTCCGATATTTATTTTATAGGAAAATACTTTAAAAACTGGCGGTCTCAGTGGTTAGAGCTATTATTCGAATCCATAAAATATATTTTTAGTAAATTAAAAATATGGTACTGTATCCTAAATATTGAATACTGGAATTCCTTCTTGAATTATTCAATTATGAATAGATAGCGAACCCTAGCGAACCCGGAAGCAGATCCTATACTTGATATTTAATTTAGGGATACTATTCTACATTTGGTTATTTTCTACTATCTATATGTACTTTTATAAAGAAATTATTTTATGAGTCCATAAAAGTTTCATTGAAACCTAATATTCTTCAGGAATTATTGAAAATAGGGATGATGACTAATTTTTGTTTGATTGTCCGTCAGGTAGAGTGTTAAAAAATATTAAACACGTATTTTTTAATTTTTTTCGTAATCATAAAATTACGGCGTTCCATTGAGTTGAAATTTCGCATGACGTCACGTTAGAGTACGTTTTCTACTCAACTGTGACGTAGCGAGCCCCCACTCCTCAACTTTAATGCCTGTTATCTAAGCTATTTCTTGTTAAATTATCTGACTGACGGACTAAATAGAATTGTATTTTTTTTACACAGTCATCATCCCTATTTGCAATCAAACATTTTTTCAATATACATCCAACTACATCATCAAAGCAGAAATAATGTCTAAAATATGATTACATTGAAATATATTACGGTATCGTGTATACAAGATGAACCATTATATATCGATATATCGAAACCATTATGAAACGAATATTTATTCATTATATCATATAAAACACCTGAAATAAAGTTTCATCCCCTATTTTATCCATTTAAGGGTGGAATTTATCAAAATCCTTTCTTAGCGGATGCCTACGTCATAACATCTACTTGCATGCCAAATTTCATCCCGATCCGTCCAGTTTGGGCTGTGCGTTGATAGATCACTATGTCAGTCAGTCACCTTTGAGTTATATATATTTAGATTATCATGTGCGTGTTACATCATCTTCAAAAATTATATTGGAAGTTAGGCAAGCGTAAGACTAATTTGAATTAGGTTATTATTATGGTTTTTCCCGTTAATTATCACTACCAGTTAAGATTTTTGATTTGATGTAAATTTCCGGCATCAGTTCAAATTATTATCAAAATACAAGGTCCAAAGATAATTTGATATGCAAATATCTTTAGAAGAATTCATAACCAACTCAGTTATTTCAAAGCCTACAAAAAATGAGTACTAAAAGACGCATCGATAAATGCACGGTGCTACAAATACAACGATCACGCGTAAGTGTAACACGACGAACTCGAGAATGTTTTGTCTACATCCAAATGTCACTTTTCACGAAGTTTTACTCTACCCGAGTGACATTTGGGTGTAGACAAAACGTTCTCGAGTTCTTTATACTACGCGTGCAGGTGATTGCTGCTATTTTTACCTGATTACTGATAAATAAAAAACACGAAAACTTTCCTTATCCCGTACATCGGCATGCATACTTATATATCGGTACATGCATAAACAAAACTACATCGTTAAAGCAATAAGTAAAACAAGCCGATTGGTTTGACGTCAATATATTACAACCTTGTAGAGATGTAAAAAGTTATTTTAACTCTAATATAAACCCTTCACTTAAATAAAGGTTTTGTGACAATATATAATTGAAATTCTCAGCTGTGGAATATTAGCATAATTATTAGTAAATATTACGGTCTACCCTAGTTATAGCAACTAAGTAACAACAAATATCTTAAAATATATTGGTAAAGTTGAAATTGTGATATTTAAAGGCGCATTGCTGTATTTCATTTAACATGGCAAAAGATAAAAAAAAATATTTACTACTTTTATAAAACTATATAATTACATTTCACTACATTTTGTTTTCATTTAAATTCTACTGGGTTTTTTTTTAATTTTCATTCAGGCAAAATTGATAACAATATAGACAATTTAAAACGCAAATAAATATACATATTTTTTTTATAATTACAGGTAAAAAAGTATAGTGTTATTAATAAATAAGGTTTAGCGTTTTAATAAATTTACACTGAGACTTCACTTAGTTTTAGTCAAAATTCATATTATTTAACAGAGACTTAGCAAAGGTTAACCTAGGACGAACTTCTACGGGTGTAATATTTACTCCTAGATGGTAGTAGGTTTCCTTATATGTATAATATGAATTTGGACTAATAATAAAATTGCAATTTTAGCGTTACTTCAACGCTATACCTTGTTTATTAATAACAATGATAGAGTATAAATAGTTATATAGTAAAAACATTGCAATTCTTAATCATATTGTTCAAAATGATCTTTATCAGGCAACCTTTGGACCGCGATATAGAATATAAATAAGCTAAAATTAGGTATTCTTAAAAAAACCACTTTGTCCCTGGCAATCTGAGATGGATCTCGAACTCATGATCTTTCGCAACCCAGGCGACTGGTGCGATTTTTAAATTCCAGTATAGCATTGTTAATGCAAAATTGATCAAATATAGTAACTTAAAATTGGGTATTTGTAATGGCAGTTAAATTATAAGATATAACATAATATTAAAATAACTGTTTTTTTATAAGACTAGGCTGTTAAATAGCACTTGTTACTGTCGGAAAACCCTCATTAATTTACTGCCTTAGATTCGTTACCAATATAACTTCAAGAATATGAAATAACTTGACATTATGATAGTTAAATAAGATTAAAAAACATATTTAAGCTATTTTCATTAATTAATCTATATATATAAAATAACTATAGTATACCTTAATATATTAAATAAGACTCGATTACAATTTAACTTGTAGTAATGACCAGATGCCAGAAATTTTCATCTTCAAATCCCTATAAATACTGCTGATGTTATTTTCTTTAAGTTATAGCAAACTATAATTTGTTTATATTTACTAGGCAAAGTTAGGAATTTATTTTAGATTTTTTCCGTCAATTTCGTCGAATACCATTTTGACTAATGTCTGCAACCTGATGGGATTACGCACAGTGATTTTTAAGAAATTATTCGCCCCGCATACTTTACTACCTAATACATGTATTTTAATCATTAATCAGGATTATATTTTGGTCATCTCTGTCGTCACTGCTAGCTACTTCCATAAAATAATTAGACATAGAGACTTATGGAAATGTATGTCTAACAAACTAACGAAGCAGGCACACGCACACATAGACGCTTTTTCACGACCTCGGATAAGGCGAAATGGAAAATACTCGAGATTAGGGTCACTATGTCTCAGGATTTGTCATTAAATCTCAAGATTTTTGGACTATTCGCAGGATTGCGGTCGGAATTTGTTAATCTCTGTAGAATTTTTCATAAAATATTATACAATATTCTTAACGAAAAATGCCCGAGACCCACCCTGAGATGGGATTCGAATCCATGACCTTTCGCAATGCGGGCGACTGCTATAACCACTAAGCTATCCAAGACCTAACAAGACTGACGAATCTTTCAAGCCCTTGTAACTTTATCGCTACTATAGAGCATATCAATATTCAGGCAATCCACCGAAACAGCCGAAAGAAATATTTTTACAGTGTATAAAGAAGATAATTGTTCGACTGTTTTTTCAATGTAATACGTTTCAGTTATAATCTCAAACTGTACCAAAATCTCAGGATTTTCCAATGGAAATCAGACCTTTTTTCCGGGCTTGATTTTTTCATCTGGCAACTCTACCCGAGATAATGTGAAAACGTGGCTTTGTAGCGTGCGCCTGTTTCACTCAATGCATTCTGTGTTAAGTTATTTTGTGCTGCTACGTTTAAAAAGACATCAACGAAACACAAAAACTCACCCCATTTGTTACGTGATACTTATTTGTATTATCATTAATATCGGCCATTTCTAAAGATTCTTATAGTTTTAACAGTATAATTTAAATCAACTGAAAGTTAAGTTTCTTATTGCTCAAGCGCCAGACACATTTTTTCATTGCCCATCGATTCTTCTTTATCCTCCACACCTGGAACAATAGAAATAAATATTAAACATAACGCTTTTTGCATTATTTTAATGATATGTAACCATAAAGGAAGTCGAATGCTTTCCAAATAATTGCTAATGGATTCGCTAATAGTCTAAAAGTGCATATTGTTTGACGAACATCATGTAACAACCTGTAAATTAATATTTGCAAATTAATTAACATAACTGATACTATTTATTTAGTAAATTCAATTTAATTTATTCAAAGCAGAATTAATTCATATTCAGTGTAGTTTTTCTGAAGTAAAAAGAAGTTTTTTTTTTTTTAGAAAAATAAGAGCGACAAGTTTTTGTGTACGCATATTTTAATATAGGGTTAGTTTTGCTTAAAAGGTCATTTTTAACTTTATAAAAAAAAAGCTTTTTTAATATACATTTTTCACTTCTAACTTTATTTTAGATGTTTCATCGTCGTAATCTATATTAGCGAACTATAGTGTATAGAAACGTGACTATAGTTTGCATTTTGGCCGGTCCGCTATATTGAATTAAGACTGAAATAGATCTCTAATAGATCTCTATAATCGTAATCTTCTTAGCTAACTGTTTGTACCCATTATATGAGAGTGCTTAAAAATTAACGCGATGAGTAGGGGAGAACAAGAAATTTAAAAACAGACAACCCTAATCGGGTAGAATGGTAACATTTTTAATTTTCTTATTTTTCTTAGCAAACTCTTTCATGTGATGGCCATATTAAGGCCATATCTCATATATTGGTGGCTTGTGATCTAAACTCTATATGTAAAATCTAGAAGTCTAAAATCTAAAATTACTAATTACGGCTTAAAGAGGTGAGTGTACCTTACTTGCTTTAAAATTTTGTTGCAAGATTCGATGAACATAATACAGGTAATCAGAAGGTTGGTTTGTACCTCGCCAAAAGAATTAATTTGGCTATTCAAAGAGGAAACGCTCGCAGTCTTCTGGGTACCTTGCCTGTTGGCAATGATCTGGGAGAAATTTGTTATTTAGTTTAGTTATTATATTAAGACATAGTTTAGATAAGTAGTTTAAATTTATTTTCTAAATAAATAAAACGTATTACATATGTATAAGTACATTTCAAATTGAATAAAAGCTGTAAAATTAAGAAAGGTTAATATACCTATTATTAATATAAGTCTTTCTTTTATCAAAACTGCAAACTAAAGGAAAGATGGCGGAGAAGAATCAAAACATTCAAAGCTATATTATTCGTCTTTGTTACTTTTTACAACAATGAACTCAGAGCACCAAGGTCAAATAAATGAATATAGCATGCAAGGCGGCAAGAGGTGTATTAAGTAAGCAGAAATGAAAGTGAGAGTCAATGACCTCTTTGACAACGCACTATCATCTTGCACTTTGAGTCGTCAGCAGCGCTACAACATTCTTGCTTTTCATATTGATTGATTAAAAAGCTAACGATTGATAAGGATTAAACATAGCTGGTATTAAATCAGATTTTTTTTAGTTTAGAGAGTGGTGCACCAGAATATTCACCATAATAAGCATTAGAGGTCTAAGGAGGGGACAAGCCGGAGCACCTACCAGAGTCTATAATACTCTGCACTTTTACCTAGGAGCAGCTCTACGGGAATGCCAAACTCATAAAATAAACTAAAAAATGAACGCAAAATATATAATTTGCTATTTATTATAAGGCTAGCTTTCTTCCAGCGGATACGATCCTGTATTACACATTACTTTTGAATCACCCCAATGTCAAAACACGGATTAAAATCCGTTGCGTAGTTTTGAAGATCTAAGCATACATACGTCCATATGGTCAGACGACGGAAAGCGATTTTGTTTTATACCACGTATTCAAGAAAAAAAAAATCCATCCATTATATTTGTGTGTGTTTTTAACAATCCATTTCAAATGCCCCACTACTAAGTTTTTGCCCCAATTCGAATAGTAGATCCGGGGACGATAAGCATTCCTTAATGAGTGTAATTACATTTTTACATAAGCTTGCTGGCTTTAATGGCTTCTGACATCATCCACCATCTAATAATATATGATTGAAAGTGTTCGGCTCACCTGGTTTTTAATACTCCATAATATGAATTTAAAAATCAAAAAACATCCACGTGTTCGAACAAACTAAAGTATAATGCAAATGTAATAGCAAATAATTATTAAAAGATACAAACAACTAATTAACAGTATCAATTGATAAATATATATTCCTTATGATAAATTCTATATTAATCGATTAACGTAACACCTTTCTAATCTTATTGACGTAAACATATTCTATAATAATAAAAAGCCGGTGAAGTGCGAATCGACTCGCGCAGGAAGGGTTCCAAAAAAACACGTTTGTTGTATGGGATAACAATTTAAATATTTATTATATTTTGTTTTTAGTATTTGTTGTTATAGCGGCGAAGAAGTACCTACATCATGTGAATAATTCAACTGTCTATCACAGTTCATGATTGATACAGCCTGCTAACTGAGAAACAGGCAGCGGAATCTAAGTTATAGAGTCACGTTTCTACCCTTTGTGTACGGAAACCTAAATATCACCTTTCACATGTCATGTTAGGAATTCATTGTGTTGTATGATTTCTTATGTTACAAAAATACCTAACTATAGGTAATAATTTTATGACTATGTGTAATCTTTGTCTTTATTTGTCGAAAGTTCACGATGATTCTCGTTGGCTTTTTGTCGTTTCGTTGAAGCAAAAACTGGTTTTAAACGGATTATAACCTATACTGTAAAACACGACCCTCCGGGTCAAGGTCTGCCTGTCTAGGGGAGTACTTTTAAAATCACTATTCGATATATCGCGAACTTCATCATGTATCTTTATCTACAGCAGAGTAATTATCCATATGTTAGAGTGGGAACTAAATAGTTCATAATATTTTAATTTCGATTTTAAGAATACGCTTTCTGAAATTCAACAATAGGAACTTATACCAATATAGCAAGTTGATGATTCGGGATAAAACCTGTACATTACATCCGCTTAAACCTTTTTACTCTTTCTCCCTGTGTCTAATCCTATGGCTACGACATGCTAGCGACAATATGGCGATATTGTATTCAACTTGACTACTATGACATGTAATTAAATAACGACGAACGAATGTTAAATAATGATTATTACAAATTTGAGAGCAGCGTTACCAACTGTTTATCCATCAAAAAGACATGTCGATATTGTAAAATGAAACGACATATAGCAATAACATCGTTAAGGGATGCATTTTATAGCTAGAGAGTTAGACAGTAGGTAATGCTAGTTCATAGCACATATAGTATGGTTAGTAAATCTATGGACTAAAAATATTAGTTAAGTGAATATTGATCATTTGAACGGAACTAATATTTAATTAGTTGTTTGACAACTTGAGTACAAAAAGTAACAAACATGATTATTTGACAAAACCATATAATGGTATTTTCAAAATAAACATGCAGATAAACAGGTTTCCAGCATTGCATATAATTGCTGGGGAAATTATGCTTTTATGCTGAAATAAACTAATAATCGTAGACACTAAAAAGGGTTTTACAAATAATTCTATCCATAGATAAATTCCATATAGAAATCGATCAGAATTGACACGGTTTCCTAGAATAAAAAAAACTAATAAAAAGAAAGCGGCGCTAATATTGAGTGCGACTCGCGTATACATTTTTATAAAAATCACTTCTTATAGGTTTTTCTATCATCTTTACTGTAGAAAATTTGTAGAACTTTTACTTAATCTGTAAAAAAGAACAATTTTCTGTTTTTTCTTCAAACTATTTAGACTAGTACTTTCGAGATTCACCGTTTAGTTTGAATCTAAAGATCTGTCCACATCACAAGACCGCTCATGAGCCAGCACCTCGCGAAGCAGCCTCGGCCTCGAGCACTGATCAAGCTACCTCAATGCAAACATTCTTATTAAAAATCGAAGTCAATTCATAAATATGTTTTCAGATATACGTCACGTTGTTGCAAAATTATCATTTTTAAACATCAGCCTATACAAGAGCTGTTTATTTTGATCGACGCATAAATTACAATAACTCCTTTGCGTTTGTTTTATTAACATATAAACATTTGATCGTCTCTATTCAGTCAAGGTATGGGAGAGGCTGTGAAATCTAAACAAGCGAATTTTTAATTGAATACACTTCGGCACAGAATGGCACTTTGTCGTTCTAGCTCGCTGAATGATTATCTGCTTTTTATTATTATTTTAATTATTGTAAATTTAGTAATGTTTATGCACCTACATGTCGTTAAGTTCTGTAGTAACATTAGATTTTAAAAACATCCTCCGAACTGTTCGTTAAGAGCCTTATCTCTATGGTTGAGAGCAGGGCAGGGCATAGAGATTCCATCAAAGAGAAAATACTTCATAAGGTAACAAAACAAAGGTTTTATTTCATTGAAGCTCTTTGTACAATAATAATAAGTGTGCTGACTGGGTAAAAAAAAAATCTATTTAGACCCTCAGTCAGATAATAGAAAAATATTAGATACATAATTTTTTATTAACAAGAAATAGCTCAGATAACAGGCATTAAAGTTTAGGAGTGGGGGCTCGCTACGTCACAGTTCTGTAGAAAATGTATAAAAAGCGTGATGTGACATTTTAAGTCAATGTATCGCCGTAAATTAATGACGAAAAAATAAAAAAATACGTATTTCATATTTTTCAACAATCTACCTGACGGACAATGAAACAAAAATTAATTGTCATCTCTATTAGGATTGTTTCAGGTCACCTCTGTTTTAAAATCCACTCAGCCTCTACTCGCCAACCTGGCGCGATACCTTTGTTACCTTATGAAGTAGGTTTTATTCCATTAAAGATCTGTGCTATCGAAGCGCAGCGTTATTTATGTGTCGTTTCAACTCGCCTCTGTTTTAAAACCCCTCTGTCCCCGCTAAGAAGTTTTATTTGTAATGCTAGGGGCGCCCGCCGTGCTGGTTTCGACACGTTGGTTGAATTGAACGTGAAGTTCTACTGGTCAGCCACGAAATCCGTAGGTAAATAAATGTTATAAG